GCCCGCACCGACGCCGCCTACAGCCTCCTGCGCGAGCTGCAGGCCGAACCCGGGCTGCCCGGCGCAGCCGCCCGCAAGGTGCGCGAGTGGCTGTGCGCCGTCGAGAGCGAACGCAGCGCCCTGAGCTCCGCCTCCGAGCCCGACAGCGGCATCGAGAGCGCCTCCTCCGAGGACCACGTGGCGCAGGGGCCTGGCGGGCGGAAGGTGCCCTGTGGGGAATGATGCAGGGGGGATGGGGGGAGGAAGACGGTCTTCACAGCCAGCGGGGCCCCTGCCTCCTGTCCATTAGCAGAGCGCATTGGAGATTCAGAGTTCCTTCTGAGGGCCGCAGTCACTTTCCTTACCTGCACCGAGCCTCAGGGTCTCCATCTGTAAACTCAGTACTTACCTCCGGGGGATGTTGCAAGGGCTGAAGTTGTAACAAGTGCCTTTCTTGCGTGCTGGTGAGGGCTAAGTTGCTCCTAATAATAGTGGTGCTATTATTATTAGTAAAAGTGTGATTAATAATTACGAGAGATGGCCCAAATGGCTTGCGGAGGAGACCCCAGGCCAGGCGGGGTCGGGAGTGCCCTCCCCACCAGGGGGTCTGTAGTTCCCCATTGCAGGCAGAGCTTGGAACAGAGTGGGCAGCAGGGCTAGGCCAGCCGGTGGCAGGGCAGCGAAAGAGCCGGGCATCCCAGCTCCCTGCCAGTTCCCACTCCTGGAGCCTCTCTCCCTGCCTCGTAGGAAGATGAGGGGGCGCAGCAGCTGCTGACCCTGCAGAGTCAGGTGGCGCGGCTGGAGGAGGAGAACCGAGACTTTCTGGCTGCGCTGGAGGACGCCATGGAGCAGTACAAACTGCAGGTGCAGCCGACTCCTTAAGGCTTTCTGGGAGGAGGGGAAGTCTGAGCTGTTTTCCAGGATGAGGGAGGCAGGGAGGGTGAGGTACTGGCGGAGGAGGAGAGGTGTAGAGAGAGGGAGTGCACAACATGAGCAGAGGCGTGGAGGTGAGCGACAGAACAGTGCGGGGGTGTGTGTGGGACCACCAGGAAGGCAGCTTTGCTGGATGGTGGCAGTTGGGATGGGACTGGAGGGGCAGCCGGATAGGACCTTGGAGCCTGGCGAAGCCAGTTCAGCACTGCGCCTGGTGCCCTCTGGTGGCAGTAGTTGGAGGTGGAGTCTGAACTAGTGCAAAAGTTGGGCGGGGTAGGGGACGATATATGGTCAGGGGTCAGGGGTTTAAGGGACGATATATGGTCAGGGGTCAGGGGTTTTTGAGACACCTCAGTTTTAGCCCAGAGGTGATGGGGTGGCCTGAGACCTGTTCAGTTTCCTGCACTGTCGGTGAGGATACCTGCCCCTGGCACTCGCACCTCTGTCAGCACCTGGACCATGTCTTGCAGAGTGACCGGCTGCGTGAGCAGCAGGAGGAGATGGTGGAGCTGCGGCTGCGTCTAGAGCTGGTGCGGCCTGGCTGGGGGGCCCCTGGGTGCTCGGTACCTCGGCCTCACACAGCCCCCCTGGGAGGTGCCCATACCCACGTGCTGGGCATGTTGCCCCCTGCCTGCTTCCCTGGAAATGAAGTTGGCCCTGAGCAGTGGGGAGAGGTGAGAGGGAGTGAGGCTGGGTGTTTGCTGGGCTCTGTTAGACCAGGTGAGGCCCTGGTCATGCTTGGGGCAGGGGAAGAGCAGTGCTGGGGCACATGTCCCTCACCCATGCTTTCATGGGACCATGTGTGAGATATGAGATGCCCTAGATTAAGGGCCAAGATTTGGGTGATTCTTTCTGTGGGGCTTCTCAGAAAGGTCCAGTACCACTGGGCATTCCTGGAGTAGCTGGAGATTGTTTGGAGTGAGGAGGTTACAGAGGAGGTTCTGGCTTCTGGCATCAGATGAGAAGCTTACACACCTCCTGGGACGGAGAGCGCATCATCTCTGAGGCTACCCCCCTGCCTTCAGATGACATTCTTTGCAAGTTCAGTTTTCCATGAGCTCTAATCTGTCTCTCTGAGCCTTGGTTTCCTGCTTCTAGTTCTGCCACTTGCCTTTTGGACAAAGACTACTCTTGCTCTGCCTGAAAGCTCTGGGTCATCTCAGCTCTAAAGGCGGAGAGGACTTAGGTGGGGCAGAAATCTCTTGTGCACCCACCACTCTGGTGAGATAGGACTTGGTTGCAGATGACCTGTATACAAGACAGAGAGGGCACATTGTCACCTGAGGAGTACCAGGTTCCATGGAAGTGGGGGGAGGGGAAGGAGGAATCTCTTGCTGGAGTGGGGGGAGGGAAAGGAGGAATCTCTTGCTCCAGCTTGACATTAAAAAAAGGCTTCCCAGAGGTGTCACCTAAGCTAGATCTTGAAGGCAAGGCAGGGCTTGAGAAGGCAGAGACGTGAGGAAGGCAGGCACACCGCGAGAACAAAGACTTGGTGGGAAATGGCTCATGGAGGATTCCCTGGAGGAGACCCTGACACTCCCCTACCAGGTGACAAATGGCAGGGAGGCTGGAGCTGAGTTGCTAGCCGAGGCGGACAGGCTGGGAAGTGGATCTTCAGCTGCATCAGAGGAGGAAGAGGAGGAGGAGGTGCCCAGGAGGACCTTGCACCTGCGCAGGTGAGTGGGACCTGCTGCCCATCCTTACAAGGATTGGCTGAGGGCCTGGGGCTGGACAGGTTCAGGATCTCATGGTCTCCTCCTCAGACAGCAATGGGAGAGACCTCTCAGCTCTCAGGGTGCTCTCAACTTCATCATCCTGGCTGGCCTTTGGGGGAGGGCTGGATAGGACTGTGGGCTCTGAACCAAGAGGTCACATTGGGGTGGGTGTGACACAGAGTGAGCCCAGGCTTCCTGGCTGTTAGCCTCCAAGGCAGCCCTCAGTGTCCCCAGCTGCCCTATGTATTTGTTATTTGAATTATTTGTTATTTATTATTTGAATTAAAGCTTTCTTCCCCTATGCAAAGGAGTGTATCTATTCACGGTACAAAGGAGGAAATAAGGAAACACCAAGGGAAAAATTGAACCCCTTCCCTAATTCGGAGTTTCTGCACATAGAATACTATTTAAAATTCCTAGGTTATTAGGCTGACTCCTTCAGACAAAAATACCTTAAAAATTTCCATTGGTTCTAACAAATATTAGAAATATTAGAAGGGGAAGAAGTTACAAATCCCACCCCCAGCACATTCACTGTTTCAATTTCCTGTAGTCTTTTGTGGTCCTTGTTCTGTGCACACATTTTTTTTTACCAAGTTTCTTTTTTTTTTCTTTTTTTTCTTTTTTTTAAAAAGATGACCGGTAAGGGGATCTCAACCCTTGACTTGGTGTTCTCAGCACCACGCTCAGCCAGTGAGCGAACCGGCCATCCATATATAGGATCCGAACCTGTGGCCTGGGTGTTATCAGCACCGCACTCTCCCGAGTGAGCCACAGGCCGGCCCGGGGCCTCTGAATTCTGCCTGGGGTTATACTGGCCCTGGGGAATGGAAGACTCAGTGGCTTCTGTTACTCCCTCTAGGTTTGGGAGGTGGCTGGACTGGGGCAGGGGCTGGCGAGGGGTAGAGACACCTGCTTCTGCCCTCCAGAAATGGGATCAGCAACTGGAGCCAGAGGGCAGGGGCCCGCCCAGGGAGTCCACTGGATAGGAAGGGCCCAGAGCTTCGCCTTGAAGAGGTGGATGCAGCCATCCCAGTGTCCAGAGGTGAGCTGGGTGTAGTGCAGAGAGGTCCCCCTCCCCTTCTTCCCTCCATGGTCCTGGGCCAGCCACCCTGGGACAGTCCACACACCATCCCCTGCAGCCCCTGCCCAGGGCATGCCCCCTCCACTCCTCTGCCTCCCCCACCGTCCATTGGGGCGGTGGCCTTGACAGTCTGCCTGTTACAGTGGTTGGTGGGAGCAAGGCCTCACCTCAGACCCGCCAGGCCCCTGCTGCCATGGCCTCTGAGTGGCGGCTTGCCCAGGCCCAGCAGAAGATCCGGGAGCTGGCTATCAATATCCGCATGAAGGAGGAGCTTATTGGCGAGCTGGTCCGCACAGGTGAGGGGGTGGGTGAGGGGGTGGGCCTCCCACCTGAGGGTGGCTTCTCATCTGTTACTTCTCCTGCACTGTTTTAGAGAGAGTTCTGCAGTGTGGTGGTTAGGAGCAGGGCCAGATGGCCTAGGCTGGATACCCAGCTCAGCCTCTTCTAGCTGTGTGACCTTGAGCAAGTAGCATAACCCCTCTGTGCTATAGTTTTTACATCTCTAAAATAGGGATAATAATTGTACCTACTTCATAAGATTGTTGTGAGGGTGAAATGAGTTAATTCAGGTAAAGTGCTTAGAATAACTCTCAGTACGCAGTACTGCTTAGGCATGGTGCTGGGCACAGACTCTCTTGGCCCCGGAGAGCGCACAGTGGGTGTCCCTAAATTGTGCTACGTCTACTATGGGCGATATGAGTAAAGTGGCAGGGGACGATTTTAGATGGTGACCAATTGAGCCTTTTTATTTTAATAATTATGAATTTAATTATTATGAAATTCATTGTGGAAATTTTCAGACAGACGTATAAGAAGAGAGACCACTATAAGGGGTTCTCATATTTGTACCCATCATTTAGATTTAGCAGTTACCACAAAGGTCAAAGGTTTGGATCCCCATACTGGCCAGCTGCCAAAAATATAAATAGACTTAGCAGTTACCAAGATTTTCACACATTTGTTTCATCTCTCCCTTCTTTCTTTTTTTTTTTTTTTTTCCTTTTTTTGTCTTTTTTACTGACCGGTAACGGGATCGCAACCCTCGGTGTCGCGCCTGTACCACGCTCAACCAGTGAGCGGGAACCGGTCTCCACATGGGATCCGAACCCTCGGCGGGAGCACCACTGCGCTCCCAGGCGGTGCAGTCTCCAGTGCGCCACCGGGCCGGGTTTTTTTTTTTTCCTTTTTGTCTTTTTTTTACTGACCGGTAACGGGATCGCAACCCTCGGTGTCGCGCCTGTACCACGCTCAACCAGTGAGCGGGAACCGGTCTCCACATGGGATCCGAACCCTCGGCGGGAGCACCACTGCGCTCCCAGGCGGTGCAGTCTCCAGTGCGCCACCGGGCCGGGCCTCTCCCTTTTTTCTTTGCTGCACAATTTTGAAGCAAATCCCAGACATTATGTCCTTTCATCCCCACACCTTCCAGTATGTCTCTTTTAAAATATGGACATTATTTACCTAACTGTAGTACCATTAGTGCATCTCTAACAAAACTAATGCCCTCTCAGTGCCAGAGCGTAAGCACATTCCTTAGATGATTCAACAGTGTCTCTTTACAGCTGGTTTGCTGGAAACAGGTTCTAGACTTGTTCAACACACAGTATATTTGCTTGTTAGGTCTCCTCTGAAGTTTCTCTTCTCTCGCTCTGCACAGAAATCCTGTAAAATGTTCCAAACTCCATATGCTTTGGGTGTGTCTGTTCTTTTCCTTGTGGTGTCCTCCATATTTCCTGCGAGTGCAGAAGTTAGTTCTAGAGGCTTAATTCTATGCAGGTTCAAGTTATATATTTATTTTAGCATGTATGAGATAAAAATAAAAACTAATTAACTTGTCATTTCTTTGGGTCATTGCTATGGATGAGGCTCATTTTAAAAGCAAGTTGATTTGAAGCAAAATATTAAATAAATAACGGTACTAGTGGTACAAAGGCTTGGTGAAACCCAGGCAGGTGTCCAAGAGCTGGGAAACCTCCCAGAGTGGTGCACCGGTGGCTTTCTTGGGGGAGAGGAGAGGGGAGTTTGTGCTGACGTGCCCTCGCTTTCTCTCAGGGAAAGCGGCCCAGGCCCTGAACCGCCAGCACAGCCAGCGCATCCGAGAGCTGGAGCAGGAGGCGGAGCGTGTGCGGGTGGAGCTGAGTGAAGGCCAGAGGCAGCTGCGGGAGCTTGAGGGCAAGGAGCCCCAGGATGCCGGTGAGCGGTCCCGGCTGCAGGAGTTCCGCAAGAGGGTCGCTGTGGCCCAGAGCCAGGTGCAGGTCAGTGCCTGGGTCTCGGGGGGTGGAGGGTGGGGACAGCTGTGGCCTCTCAGGCTGGGGTTCCTGGGACCAGGACACATAGGTTCTGGGGCTGAAACCCACTGTGGAACCTGTGCGTGCTCAGGCCGTCGTGCCCCACCCCCTGGCTGGTGGCACTAACTCCTACCTGGCCTCCCAAGGTGAGGCTGGTATTGTTTAGAAGCTGGGAGTTGGCTCACTTTTAAACACAGCAGAGGCAGGGAGGTGGGTCCTGCCTGAAGACCATCTAGGAGGCCTGCCTGAAGACCATCTAGGGTGAAGAGTGGGTATCTAAAGAAAATCTACCCTTCAGCATGCAGCCCTCCCTCCCTAGGTCCATCCCAGTCCACCCTTCCAGCTGTGCATTTGCCTCCCCCCATCCCATCCTCTTGTCTGTGTCCACCTAACCCACCCATCTGCTTAGCCTTTTATCTGTTGATTGATCAACTGTCCACTTATCCTTGTATCCATCCACCGTTCCATTCCTATTTATCGATTCATGCATTATCTGTCTGTGTTAGTTTGCTAGGGCTGCCATGCCAAGTACTGCAGACTGGGTGGCTTAAGCAATAGAAGCTTAGTTTCTCACAGTTCTGGAGGCTGGAAGTCCACGATCAAGGTGTCAGCAGGTCTGGCTACCTCTGAGGCCTCTCTACTTGACTTGCAGGTGTCCACCTTCTTGCTGTGTCTTCATGTGGTGTTTCCTCTGTGCACACATCCCTGGTGTCTCTTCCTACTCTTATAAGGACACTAGTTCTATTGGATAAGGACCTCACCCTTATGACCTCATTTAATCTGAATTACCTCTTTAAAGCTGTATCTCCAAATACAGTCATATTCTGAGGTACTGGGGGTTAGGACTTCCACGTAGGAATTTGAGGGGCACGGGACACAATTCTGTCCATAACACTGTTCGTTCTATTTTTTACCTTTATGTGATACTACCCACCTCTTCATGTGTCCACCACCCTTCCATCCATCCATCTTTGCAGCTGTCCATCCATCGTTTATTCCTTTTTTTTCTCCGTTCAGGTGTCTAAGACACAGTACAGTAGAGTGGTTGAGAGCACAGGCTCCGATACCTGACTGGGTTTGAATCCCAGCTCTACCACTTACTAGCTGTGTGTCCTTGGTCAAGTTCCTTAACCTCTCTGTGCCTCAGTTTCCTAATCTATAAACTAGGGATAATAATAATCATACTTTTTCATAGGCTTATTAGGATCATTTAATACACACAGAGCACTTAGTGTAGTGCCAAGTACATGTCATAATAGCTACCATTATTAGTGTTCTGTTGTTATTATTAGTCTATCATCCACCCACCTTTTCCCCTTTTTGTCTGTCCCTCTATCCACTCATCTGTCCTTGTTGAGTGCCAGGCACTATACCAGACTCGCAGTAGCCCCTGTGCATGGCCTAGTGGAGACTGTGGGTCACAGGTGCTGAAGGAGAAGAAGCAGGTGACAGAGCGGCTGGCGTCACTGTCAGCCCAGAGCGAGAAGCGGCTGCAGGAACTCGAGAGGAATGTGCAGCTTATGCGGCAGCAGCAGGGGCAGCTGCAGCGGCGGCTTCGCGAGGAGACAGAGCAGAAGCGGCGCCTGGAGATGGAGATGAACAAGCGGCAGCACCGTGTCAAGGTCAGGCTCAGGGCTGGAGGGGGCACCCTGAGCCCGGGGCTCAGCCAGGCGGGCCCAGGGTGGGTCTGTCCTGGTCCCACCACTCACAGCCACATGACCTTATAAAGCAGGTCATGCAGACTATCTGAGTTGGTTTTTTCATCTGAAAATGAGCGTTATAGGAAACTCAAGGCTAGCATGAGACTTCAGTGAGATGACAAATATAAGGTGACTTGTATCTTGCAGGGACCAGACATGTGTTTGCATCAGTTTTCTGGTCCCCAGAGAGGCTGGGGGATGCTTTGCAGGGTTGACTGGGCAGTGGGAAGACCTTTCTGTGGCCTTTGGGGATCACTAGCAGGTTCTGGGGAGATGCTGGCACTGTAAATGTCCCTGTCCACTGAGTTTCTGTCCCAGGAGCTGGAGCTGAAGCATGAGCAGCAGCAGAAGATCCTGAAGATCAAGACAGAAGAGATCGCAGCGTTCCAGAGGAAGAGGCGCAGCGGTAGCAATGGCTCTGTGGTCAGCCTGGAGCAGCAGCAGGTGGGGGTGGGCTGAGCCTGCGTGTCTGAAAGCTTCTGCAGCCTGGCAGGGCAGCCCTGGCTGGTTGCCAGGGTCCCCTGGAGGTCAGCTGGTGGGAATACCATTCTCCCTGTTGGAACTTGGGTGGCAGTCCCACAGCCGGAGGTGGGAACTGAGTTCCCTCCCCACCTCCCCACTTTCCCTCAGAAGATTGAGGAGCAGAAGAAGTGGTTGGATCAGGAGATGGAGAAGGTCCTGCAGCAGCGCCGGGCACTGGAGGAGCTGGGGGAGGAGCTCCACAAGCGGGAGGCCATCCTGGCCAAGAAGGAGGCCCTGATGCAGGAGAAGACAGGGCTGGAGAGCAAGCGCCTGCGGTCCAGCCAGGTGAGGCCCTGCCAGGTGAGGTCCCTGCCAGGCAAGATCCTGCAATGGTGAGGTCTAGCTAGGTGAGGTCCCTCCAAGTGATAACCCTGCCAGGTGAAGTCTTACCAGGTGATGTCCCCACCAAGTGAGGTCTAGACAGGTTAGGTTTTTCTAGTTAATGGCCCTGCCAAGTGAGGTCTAGACAGGTGACGTTCTTCTAGATGATGTCTCTGCCAGGTAAGTTCTAGACAGGTGTAGCTCTGTCCTACAGGGCTGTATCCTATAGATCCTCAAGAACTCTAGAGCTTTAGGATGTGTATGACACAGATACTGATTTGAGGGCAGAAGAATCTCTCCAAGTATCCATCCCACAATTCATTTCACCTCATTAACCACCTCTTTGGGGCCTGTGCAGGCAGAACAAGGAAGAGCAGGTATAGGAGGGTGGTCTGCCCAAATAGAAAGAGACTTCACTTGCTTTGGATGCAGGCACACCTGGGAAGACACACCTGGCCCCACTACTCTCTCTTAACTAGGAAGGTCAGCTTTTGAGCCAGTTTCCCCTTCTGTCAAATGGGGTCATAATGTTGCCAGGAGGATTAGAGGGGGTATGTCAAACACAAATGCAGAGCCTGTTCTAGTACAGGTGCTTGGGCTAGATTCCCAGAGGGTTCCAGACCCAGAGGTCTGGAGCCCTGCTTCTGCCATCACGGAGCACTCCAAAGTCCAGGAGGGTTCAGGCTGGATGGCCTGTAACTTCCCTTGACTGTTAGATCTTTCATTTCCCCCCATATTCAGCTCCCAAAAGGGCCACTAATTTCCCATAATTCCCATCACTCTCCAGTTCAGTCATCTCAGTGACAGGCCACCCTGCCCCACCCCCACTCTGCCTTTGCCAGGTCTTCCCTTCTTGCCAGGTCTTCTGCCCTCTGTTTGTCTGTGTCCTCCTCTGGGCCATCTTTGGGGGCTCCTCCTCTGGTCCCTTTGGCCCCTACTCCCTGGGCTTCTGTGAATTAAGAGTCAGGCGTCACCCTGAGGAGAACATCTGGATTGTAGGTTTCCTCAGGGAAGGACCCATGTTATCCTCAGCATCCAGAGACTAGGCTGGGCTGTTTCTGCCACCCCTGTGAGGATGGTGCCTGTTCCTTCCCTAATCCCTGGCGGTGCCACTGCAGGCCCTCAACGAGGACATCGTGCGAGTGTCCAGCCGGCTGGAGCACCTGGAGAAGGAGCTGTCAGAGAAGAGTGGGCAGCTGCGGCAGGGCAGTGCCCAGAGCCAGCAGCAGATCCGTGGGGAGATTGACAGCCTGCGCCAGGAGAAGGACTTGCTGCTGAAGCAGCGCCTGGAGATCGACAGCAAGCTGAGGCAGGGCAGCCTGCTGTCGCCCGAGGTACGCCTGCAGGCATCCGCCAAGCTTGGCCTCTCTGCCTCGGCCCTCCACTCCCATCATTGATCTGTCCCTCTGCTCTGTGGGTGCTGGCCTTGCTGCTTGGACACAAGCCCCTCTGTGTGGTAGGCCCTGCCAGGTGGGAATGGGGGCTGGTGAGGGCTGGCCTGGCCCTTCTGCCCTCTGCTTTAGCTCCTTGTCTTGGACACAGGGCTGGGCCTTGCTGACCTCTCAGTTACCTCCTGGCTGGGGCCTGGATCCTGCTGTGTCCTGTGCTACATTAGACCATGTGCTCACACATCTCAACTTTGCATGTGGGGCTGAGTGTTTTGGTAGCTGTTTAATGTTCCCCATGGCCCACATGTTTGCTTTCTCTGAGAAAAGAGAAGGCCTGTTAATAGGAACCTCCCCAGCAGGCCCTGGGGTGTCTCCGTGGCAACCCCAACTACACCTTCCATTCACTGTAGGGTGTTCTCAGCTTCCCAAGTGTGGGTAACTGCAGAGGGTGTGCACTTGAACAAGCAGCCCCTTAGCAGTGCCCCATACTCACCCCAGGTTGGGGCTGTGACAGGGAGCAGGGGGCACTTCTCTCCTGATGTGCTGACTCCACTCTCAGGACAGAGGACACTTAAGGTTCAGGTGTGGCTAAATGTTGACTGTTGTGTCTACCCAGGACTTGTTCTGAGGTGCAGGAAGCCCAGTACTTGCCCACCACGCATGCCTCTGTTCCTGCAGGAGGAGCGGACGCTGTTCCAGTTGGATGAGGCCATCGAGGCTCTGGATGCCGCCATCGAGTACAAGAATGAGGCCATCACATGCCGCCAGCGGGTGCTGCGGGCCTCGGCCTCGTTGCTGTCCCAGTGCGAGATGAACCTCATGGCCAAGCTCAGCTACCTCTCATCCTCAGAGACCAGAGCCCTACTCTGCAAGTATTTTGACAAGGTGGGTCACCGGCCCTTGAACCTCTGCCTCCTTCTGCAACTCACATGGGGGAGGGATCTCATGGCAGCTCCAGAGAATACCCCATTTCCTCCTAGATGGGGAATCAGAATCAGGACCAGCTCTAGTCTACAGGGCTGTCTGGCTCTTCTCTTTATAGTTTGTTTTACTTGTGGTGCTAAGACCCAATCTCCTTCACCCTCTTTTCCAGTCTGATTGGCCAACTTCACGGTGGCCCTTGCCCAGCTCAGAGGTTCTCAATAAGGGATGGTTTTGTCACCCAGGGGACATTTGGCCATGTCTGGAGATATCTTTGGTTGTCAGTGGTGGGGATGAGTGCCAGGCATGCTGATAAACATCATATAATGCACAGGCCGGGCCTCTACACCCAAGAATTATCTGTCCCACAATGTCCATCATGCTGATGGTGAGAGATCCTGGCCTAGATGAAATTCCACAGCTTGAGGCCCTGTTCAGAGCCTCAGTGGTTAGGAGAGGGTTTATGGCAGAGGTGGCAAAAGTGCCATCTTGAGAGCCAGCTCTGGTCATTTGGAAATCAGTGCCTAGAACACTGTGGAGAAGTGTCTCAGGCCAAGTCTTGGCTCAGCAGGAAAGACCCTGGTGACTTTGTAGTGATGTCTGCCATGGCATCACAGTGACAAGTTGGCCAACACATGCTGTCACTGGTTGAGGACTACCAGGGTGAAGGGGGCCAGTGGCGAGACTGAACCTGGCTGGGTCCCATGACAGGTGGTGACACTCCGAGAGGAGCAGCACCAGCAGCAGATTGCCTTCTCGGAGCTGGAGATGCAGCTGGAGGAGCAGCAGAGGTTGGTGTACTGGCTGGAGGTGGCCCTGGAGCGGCAGCGCCTGGAGATGGACCGCCAGCTGACCCTGCAGCAGAAGGAGCATGAGCAGAACATCCAGCTGCTCCTCCAGCAGAGCCGAGGTGCGTGGCCCTGCCCCCTCACTCCCAGGCCCCAGCCGCCCCAACCTGCCCACAGTTCCTCACCCATGTCCTCTGCCTTTCTACTCCAGACCACCTTGGCGAAGGGTTGGCAGACAGCAAGAGGCAGTATGAGGCCCGGATCCAAGCTCTGGAGAAGGAACTGGGCCGCCACATGTGGATAAACCAGGAACTAAAACAGAAGCTCAGCAGTGTGAATGCTGTGGGCCAGAGCAAAGGTAATTTTTATCGGCTGGCCCAGGCTTTGGCCTGTCTTGCTCTAAGTCAGGCTTATTCCTTCGTTTTGGGGAAGGCTTTGAAACCACCTTTATCTCTTATTGGCTCATTTTACAGGTTGCTTATTGGGCTGGGGCATCGGGAAGCTAGTACTTCAGGAAGGCGCTGATATCTCCATGTTTGACAAGGACATGCTTTCTCAGTGACAGGTGGGGAGAAGAAGAGCCTCTGCCTGGAGAATAAACAAGTCTCCAGAGATGAAGATGAGCCCCACCCAGTGTCTGAGCTTCTCTGGCAGCCCCCACTCACTGAGGGGGCCCCCCGTGCCCGCGAGGAGACACGGGACTTGGTCCATGCTCCGTTACCCTTGACGTGGAAACGCTCAAGCCTGTGTGGCGAAGAGCAGGCCTCCCCCGAGGAGCTGAGGCAGCGGGACGCAGCTGAGCCCCTGATGGGGCGGGTGCTGCCTGTGGGGGAGGTGGGCCTGCCCTGGACCTTTGGGTCTTTGCCCAAGCCCCGTCGGGAACTAAGAAGAGCAAGCCCAGGGATGATTGATGTCCGGAAAAACCCCCTGTAGGCCCGTGGGGCAGACCCTGACTTGGAAGAGAGAGTTTGATCCTGCTGAAAGGTGCAGTTGTCTACATTTTGCTTCTGTGGATAGTCCTGACCTTACACCCTAAATCCAGGTCCTCTTCTTTACACTAATTGGCGTCAACAAATTTTGGCCACAGCCCAAAAGAACTGGACTCTTGTTTTAAAAAATATGTAAATTCCTACCATTCACTTCCTTTAAGCTGCAGTACCTGGTTGTCACCTTCTGGCTTGCCCAAGTTTCAGGACAATTCTGGTTTCAAACAAATTTACAAGTGTACTTCAGAAAGTTTGTGCAAAAATAGAATAGATAATATGAATCTTTCCATGAACTTTTTGAGGTATGCTTATATGTTCCCATAGTTCTGGGGTTCAATCAAGGCTTGTTGCAAAATGATCAGTGGCAACAGGGTTGTGGTTTAAATGGTGTTATGTTTATAGGGGGAACTGGGAGACTTAGCACATTTTTAGAATTTTAAAAACCATTTTCTAATAAAATAATCTCTGAAGGGAGAAATGCGAGTTTTCACTTAGTTTGACTTACGATAGGAGGAATCAGATTTGGGAACACAGCAGGCTGGATCCCTGTTTGGACCCTGGGAGATAGTCTGAATTAGCCCTTACAGTTAGCCAGGCCCCTGCCAAGTCCCAACAGCAAGCTGGGACCAGCTGTTCCATGGGTCACTCCAGGTGGAAACCACAAGCCAGGTGACATCTCTCTATGAACAGGCAAAGACTGTGACATGAACTGCCTGATTCTCAGGGAAGACCTTGAAATGGGGTTGCTCCAGAAACCACTAGAACTGGACTGTGGGCACAGTAACCTCAGGCTGGAACATTAAATAGAAATGCACTGAAGGCTTAGTCAGAGATGACTTTATTGTTACGTAGGGAATGCAAAGAATTTACTCTGCTGCCCGATGCGGTCTTCAGTTTTGTGTACAGGGATTCACAGTTTACAAAGAACTGCCCATGTGGCAGTGCCCCAGCCTTACAACAGCTCTGAGAGGGACCTCGTGCAGGGCTCCTTTCTCCATTTTCACAAGTAAGGCACAGAATAGCCCTCTGACTTACCAAGGTCATGAATGGGTGGGGCTGGAATGGGATCCCAGTGTTAACAATTCCTTGTCTGGTTTCCCAGGCTGCGTGAGTGACAGCACTAGCTACACTGCCATCCATGTCACCTTCCCCAGCCTCCCCAACAAAGGATAGGGCCTGGGGGTGGATAGATTCCATGAGGGGAATTAAAAAACCACAAGGCATTCTAGCGGGAATCTGAAAGCTGACCAGGTAAAAGAGGCTTGGGACAAGGTTCCCAATTTCTTTATGCCCATGGGAACCGGGCTGACTTCATGTTCATCTTTTGAACTTTCTCAGTCCCATTAAGCCCCAGTTTCTCCTGTTTCTGGGCACACTGCTAGAATTCCTTCATGGTATGAGTCTGGAATTCCTAACACATCCAGACAAAACCACTCTTAGAGCACTCCCCCTTTCAGGGAATGCACTGGATCTGGTCAAGTTCAGTAGTGTTTGTAGTTACAAATCCTCCAACCGGGTTCCATCCTAACTAGCTAATGAGCTTCTTCCGTGTGTAAGTTCTGCCGATGAGGTGTCTCCTGGAGAATGCTCGGCTGAAAGGAGATTCTTCTGCAGTGGAAGGAAAGGCATCCATATCCACATCCATATCCTCATCTAGAAAGGAGTAAGACTTAGTGTGCAGGAAGTAACCGAGGACTGAACAGAAGGAAATGATGGTCTTCAACTGCAGAAAGTTACACATGAAGACGGACTGGAGGTTCTCATCCTGCAGAAATGTTACCTACACTTTTTACATAGCCCTCTGCCTGTAACAGTTATGTACTGAACTGACAGCAAGAAGCTATTGTAAAAATGCAAAGTACCTGTGGTTTGAATCCCGTTTGATATATTGTACATCCTTTTTAGGTCTCAGATATGTGGGGCTATGCTATTTTGCATGATTTATACCATGGTCTTGAGGGAATAGAAACACTGCCTCTACCTGCACTCCCCTACTCAGTCTAGCAGCAGAAGGAAACTTTTCTAACCATGCAGTTAACAGGACAGATCCTGTGCTTTTACAGATGGGGTCAAGGAAAGGGAACCCTATAGTCTGAAGGCTGGTTACTACAGTCAGTACTTTTTCAAAACAAACGCACAGAAAAACATGGGAATAAATCCACTGTGGGGAAATAGCTGGCTCTAAACATGCTATCTATCCCTCATGCTGCTCAAAACACTTTCCTGTTCAGATTCGAAGGCTACTAACGAGCAGTATGTTGGCATGTGCCCACTGCTGTCATCATCTTCAAGAAAACTAAAGTATTTTAGTATGATTTTGAGGGCGTTTCTATTCAGATGCAGAAGTTCTAATATGGAGTTTCTCTGGGAAGGGCACATGACACTGTAGGCACAAAATCACCCATCCCATACTAAGCTTTCCCCAAGGCCCCTCCAGAATCTCTCTTCCTGGCAACCCTGAGTGAACTCCAGAGAGTCACCCACAGGAGAGTAGCTTGATCCTGGTAAAAGTCTCCAAGACCTTTAACAAATTACCTCTGGAGTCTTTGCACTGAGAAGGTGTTTTCCCCTGGAACAGCAGTGGAGACTGGGTCAGAGCCTGCAGACCACTGGTGGAGAGGGCACTCCGCACAGCACAGCCAGGAGGTGGGGTGGAGCCTAGAGAGATCCCACATGGTAAGTGCAGCCCCACAGGACCGCGAACAAGGAAGCCCAGCTGTCCCCACTCCAAATGACTCCTCCCCAAACACTCTGCCCCATGGAAACCATATGGCAAGTGGTTTCCAAAACTCACCAGAAACAAACACCTCATCGTCCCCCATGGAGGGGAGCTGGCACACACTTGAACTTGATGATCTCTCCTCATACCTACTAACTTCTGCATCTTCTCTCAGGTTGTCACAGACTCTTTTGGCTTGATACTCAGCTTCTTCTTTAGCAGACAAGAGTCTCTTTCTGGAACCCGACCCAAACTGTCCCCATAAGGCTTCCTCAGCCCTGGGCACACTGTCCCTGGGAGGTGATTGGTCTGGCAACTGACACACCCCCTCAAGCTCAATATCCCCCAAGATGGCGGTCTTGTGGATGCTGAGGTCAAGGCTTTGCTCCTTCCCCTCAGTGTCAAGCAGTGACAGGCCCCCAGGAAGGTCTGTAATGCCTTCACCCCTCCCGGAAGAGGTGCCAGTGCTGCAGTCCACTGCCCTCTTCCTCCGGGGCCAGTCTTTAATTGTGTCTGGAGGTGTCTTCCCACTGTACTTGGGGGATGGTGTCCAAGGAACCCCAACATCTGTTTGAAACGGAGAAGGGGTACTAGAGGGGCAGTGGGTGGGGGTGCAGGACTGGCAAATGTAGGTTTGCCCCCCACTCTTGCCAGGTGTGCTGTGTGAGGGGCGGAGGCAGGGGGGTGACATGTAGGTGGGTTCGGGTTTGCTGGAGGACCTTGTGCTCCTGGGCAAGCTGAGACCAGGGAAGGAGCTCTCCTCTCCCATAGAGCTCTCTTCCTTTCTTAGGGGCTCGGGTTCTATCTTTTTTATTCGAAGCTTGGGAAGGCCAGAAGCTTGCATCTCCAGCTCAATCTCATAGGTCTGTGGACTGCCAGAGGCTTTCGGATGCTGGGCTGAAGTGTGCAGACTGTCTGGTTGAGCTGCAGCCCAGTGCTGCCTTCTGTCTGCAGTACAGTGCAGGTTGTAGGAAGGTATCAGAGGAGAGCCAGGCCGCGAGGAAGGAGATGGAGAAATCCCAGGGTTAGACAGAGAAGGCTTCTCATCAGCAGTCCCTGTCCTTAACCCCTCACCTTCCTCCACTGGTAAGACATTACTTTTCAAGTTATCACTACCACAGTGCTCAGCTTCATCAAGGAGAGTGAGATATTGTTTGTTACTTGCAATAAACAGAGAAGAGGATATATGCCAGTCACTCCCGAAACCAGTGTCCAGGTAACTCTGTCTTTCAGGAGAAGATTGAGGAGAGAGGCCCACTTCCTTCTGGTCCTTTCTAGAGTCTGTGATGGCAGCCGGGCTGTCAGCTGTGCCAACCACAGGAGCAGCACAGCTGTCAGGCCAGCACTCCAGGAAGCTTCTTCCAGGATTAGAGGTCTTTATATACCACTTCCCAATTTTAGAGGGGGGTGCACGGGGGACAGAATGAGATGTGACTATCTGTGAGATTTGCAGGGGAGTTGAGGGAGCAGGATAAGAGAGAGATGCAGCTACACTGGATGACACCTGGGACTCTTTCCAATCCAGTTCTCCAGGGGGAGAAGATTCTATTGAAGGTTTCCTAAATGGACTCTTTTTGGAAATATCACATAAAGGAGAAGTAAATAGTTTCTTCGGAGAAACAGGTGGGGAAGAAATCATAGTTGTACTCCTTGGATTCTTTGTGGTTTTGACAACTTTATCCTTTAGTTTCTGTGCTGGGTCCTCTGCCTGAGAAGCTCTGGGGACACGGGGCTGTTGGTGTTTTTGATTCTGAGGTGTGCCTGTGAAGGCTGCTGCTCTCGGAGGTGTTCTGAGAGAGTATCTGACAGGAGTCAGACACTCACTTCTGCGCTGGGCAGTTGACGGAGTTGTTGGACAGGAGGGACTTTCTGGACTGGAATTCACTGAATGTAGCCAAGTACGATTCAGCAAAAACCCAGGTGGCTGAGCACCTTGCCTTTTGGGAGTTCTTGGTATCTTCTTTTCATTAGGAGAGACATCTCCTGCTAGGGAGTATCCTTTTTGAGGAGTGACTTTTGATTCTGATGGTGAATCATAGACATGTGAGGAGAAGCCTTTTAAGGACTCCTTAAAAATGGTCTGCTTTGCAGGGGATTTTTGCAGCCTTTCTGGAGTATACAATGGAGTTTGCAGTGTACGAGGGAAACTTCTTGGTGTAGTTTTAGAAAAGCTTGGAGATTCCTGGTAGCTCTTCTCAGGAGTCTGAAAAGAAAAATGCTTATTTCAGTGCTTGTATATTATAATCCATATTCTCTAAAGAGTGTTTTAGTAATCTCTAAGATGACAGAAAAGCAAATGGGAGATTCATAATCAGGCAAAGGAATGATCTGAAATTGGAAATTTCAAATAGTGACCTGGTTCCCCCTCCAACACATGACTCAGATTTTACTTGTCCACTTTTTCAAGGATAAAGCACTATATCCAGTCTTAGTTTATGCTCCTAAGAACAAATAATTTCAATACTTCACATACCACCGCTAAACCATAACTGTATCCTTCCACCACTCACAACTACTGTCTCTTTCCTTTCTTCAAACGAGACAGCTATTTTAGACCTTTGCCTGAAGTAGCCTCCAGCAGCCACCTCATCTGCTGCTCACCTTCATTCCACATGTGCTCATGAAATACCTACTATGTGCCAGGCACTGTGGGGGGGTTGGGGGGAGAGAAGGAGGGCATGGAATATACAGATACATAAGGCAACAGCAACAAAGATAACGTCTCAGAAAAACTAAAAATTTCCCTTCCTCCTTGCAAAAAATATAGTTAAATACTCCAACAGGTAAGGAAGTCAAACATCTATCTTTTCTACAGCCTTACTTGTCTCAAGGGAATCCCAATCTAGTTGGCGTTTCATGCTGTAAATGTAGGAAATCCCCACAATCGTATACACTATAGAACTAACTTTGCTTTCCCTTTATAGCTTGCCCTTAATGATTAACTAAGATTGCATTGAAAAGACATCCTGTCTCACCAGATACATCCCAATACATTTTACATCACTCAAAGCAGGAAGCAGCTGTCCACTACACTTGAAGATGTCTTTTCTCTGATACATTTACCTGTATAAACCCCTCAGTCGATTGGGGAGGCAGGTGGGACTTTGCCCTCTGTCTCCTGACGTCTTCTGAAATAACAAGACTTTGATGTCTTCTGAAATAACAAGCCTTTCCTTTAAGTTTGGTCTGGGGGGTGTGACTGGTGATCCTATAGTGGTGAGCACTTGGACCCACATGGGTCAGGGACTCGTTTGTTACCAATGCTCAGTGTATAAACATGATAACAGTGTGGCCAACGCCATGATGGCCATGTGCAAAGGGAATTACGGGAGCTGTCTAACCCAGCTGTGGGGAGGAGAGGAAGGAAAAGTGAGTCAGGTCTTCAAGAATGAGTGTCGTCACATGAAGGCAAAGGCTGGAGAAATGGGGGAGAAATCACTATAAGCAAAGGGACAGAAGTGAGAAACACCAGCTGTGTGCAGGACAGTGTGCAGCCTGATGTTGCTGGGAAGGTGGAGCATGATGCAGGAAGGGGTGAGGGCTGAGGCCAGCCAGCCTATCAGGGCCCAGACCATGAAGGACCTTGTCTGCCTGAGGGAGGAGACTGACCTTGGTTGTACAGATCTGTGGTTTTCAAACCCTTCCCCAGAGCTCCGTGTCTTCCCCCTACCTCTAAGCATTTACTGGGTTTCCAAACAAACATTATTACTTTTGAACACAAGGGTTTCACTTTAGGAAATCTTAGAAAACTGTGTTTTGGCAGACAGGGCATCTATAGAGCTTTAGGCAGAGTGAACATTGTAAGCAAAGTCAGATGAACATTTCAGAAAAATCACTGACCTCTGAGTGGAGGAAGGATTTAAGAGGGAAATGGCTGCTGAAATGTTCCAAGCAGAACTGAACTAGGGCAGTAATAGCAGCGATGGAGAAGAGGGTATGGGTACAAGAAACAGTTTGTAAATAAAATGGGCAGGACTTGGTTAATTGGCTCTGTCCTGGGAGAGTGAAAAGTCAAGGGTGACTCCCAGGTTTCTACATGGGTGACTGGATTGAGTGGGCAACGAAAAGGAAACAGATGAATACTTGTTAAACATTTCAGAAAGACATATATGGAGTGTCTGATATAAATGGTAGATGAAGCCAAGAGAGTAGGTGAGATCTCTATCTCCTTCCTATAACAATAGCCTCAGCCAAACCTGCTGCTTTAAGTTCCCACATGCCCAGTAATCATTCATGTGCCTCAATCCAACCACCCCAAATTTCTTTTATTATCTATCAATCTCACTGGCTTTCTCCTCCCTAATGATCTCTGTGGTTTCCTCTGCCATGTCTCTGTGTTCCCTGAGACTATACTATTTTAAACTTTAGAGAAATTTTATACCTGGTAAGCTGTAGGTATCTCAGAGCCCAACATGTTTCTTGAAGGCCTTTTAATTCGGGCTGAACCCTTTTCTGAGGGGCTGATCATCTCAGACACTGCCCCGAAAAAAAGGCTCTTGGGAGACTGAATACTTTGGACCGGAGAATTTTCTCTTTGGTCTGCAAGTCAAAAACAGCAACAACATTTAATTCTTTCTCAACACTTGCCCTCCAATACTGTTAAAATAGCCAATCTGTATAAGAAAGACAACAATAATCTTTGAGAGCAACTGGGGAGAAAAATCCCACCTAATTACATCAGCAACTGCAATGATTGTTGCCTTCCTGAGTTTTAATAAGAAGACTGCATATTAACTCCAGTTCCTATATTAGGAAATGTAGGCAACTGAAAAATTTAATTTGTACATATAAGTATAAAAATACATTGACTATCCAGGCTAATCATGGATATAAGAAGGAAGAAAAAGACAAACAGATATCACCTTCTACTTGAAATATTTGTAGGATCTGGTTTTATGGGGGAAATTATGGGTAATTTCCCCTAGAATGAGTGAGCCACCTATAATGATAGTGTGGACAACCAGTTGTAAGATCCAAGGGATGACTGACTGATTATAAAGGCCATGGATTGTTCATCTAAGTCATCACCTTGAACCCACAGTATACATACCTATTCTACTTCTCCAATGTCAAAAAATAAAATGTCAAATTTCATGCTTCTTTTCCCCAAAATACTTCAAAAAGTCAGCAGAGACTTGTGAGGACAGACAGCCTGCATGTTACCTGACTTGTCTTGCTGGAATGAGTGGACTCTCTGCACACTTCGAGACTTTGGCTGAGACACAGAATAGAAGGAAGCAGAATTTGTCCTGCTAAATGACATTTGCTTGATTCGAGGACTTCGTCTCAAACTTATTTCTGCAAAACCAGAACCACAGTAACCAGGGAGAACTACAAGCTTGACATTTTTCCATGTTATCAGAAATGGGTGAAATTTATGTAATACCACATACAAGATAGAAATTCAACAAGTTATTGGCTTTAAGAGACTTCTGAATTGTCTCTTAAGAAGCTAAGAGGGGTTTGATACATGGTCTCAACACAGTATCTAAAAAACACTAATCCATTAGACTGTCACCTTCGTAAGTCTCATAAACTGCCACCTTTAAACATGATGTAGGGTAAAAAAAAAGGTATGTATGACTTTTGCAAAAAAAAAAAAAAATGCACGTTACATCTTGTGTATATTACATGAATTTGAATAGAAATAACAGCAGTGAAAGTATACTGTAAAATGTTAACAGAGTATTTCTGAGTTGTAGGATTACCAAGTGATTTTTAAACTTTTTGCTTCTCTATACTTTCTGATTTTCCCACAGAAAACATGACTAACTTGAGCATTAAAAAAAGTTAATTCTTGTATACTTTAAAAATAAGCCACAGCAGTTTGTATAACACAGTAGTTTAAGCCCTCACCCTAAATTACAATTCAACTGTATAAAAATATTTCTTCTCCAGAAATTCTCCCAGTAAATTTGTGTAAAAGAACATTCACGTATAAACAAATTGTTGACCCACAGTCATCACAATTTCTGTAAAATATCTCAGGATGTGCTGAGTTACAAGACAAGTATAAGAAAAGTTTTCATGAAGCTAGATAGAAAGCAAAAAAAAAAAAGTAGGTAATACTCACCATCTTCTCCTTTTTCAGGGGACTCTTCAACGACGTCAGTATCAGGACCAGGATCAAAAGACCTTGGAAAACAAGCACAAGAATTATTCAATATCCCTCATAATTAACATGCATTGAAGAGACAGCTTCTCATCTAACCAGGTAACACAGGTCACAGGGTTTGATAACACCAGTGCTGGTAAGCACTCTCATCCATGATTATTGTTGAGAATGAAGTGGTTAGAATGTTTTTTTTGGAAAGCAGTTTTGTTTTGTTTTGACAGCTGGCCAGTATGGGGATCCAAACCCATGACCTTGGTGTTACCAGCACCACAGTCTCCCCAGTGAGCTAACTGGCCAGCCCAGAAAGCACTTTTACAATATTAAAATTAATTTACACATGACAAAATGCTCAACATCACTCAGCATCAGAGAAATGCAAATCAAAACCACACTGAGATATCATCTCACCCCAGTTAGACTGGCTATTATCAAAAAGACAGAGAATAACAAATGCTGGCAAGGATACAGAGAAAGGGGAACCCTCTGACACTGTTGCTAGGACTATAAATTGGTGCAGCTGTTATGGAAAACGGTATGGCGGTTCCTCAAACAACTTCAGATAGAACTGCCATACAATACAGCAATTCTACTGCTGGGCATATACCCAGAGGAATGGAAATCATCCTGTCGAAGAGATACCTGCACTCCCATGTTTATCACAGCTCTATTTACAGTAGCCAAGAGTTGGAACCAACCTAAATGTCCATCATTGAATGACTGAATAAGGAAAATGTGGTATTATTTACACATTGTAATACTATGCTATAAAAAAGAATGAAATCCTGCCATTTGCAGCAACATGGATAAACTCAGAGAAATACTACATGTCCTCACTCAAAAGCGGGAGCTAAAAAAAACCCAAATTAAAAAAAAAAAAAAAGAAGGAAAGAAAGATACAACAATCACAATGATACACTGAACTTTCAAAAGGAGAGAACAGAACTAAGGTTACCACAGGTGGGAAAGGGTGAGGGGGGGAAGGGTAAGGGGGGGAAGGGTAAGGGAGGAATTGGTAAAGGGCCACAAAAAATGATTACGTTGTATAATGTTGAATATACTAATTATCCTGATCTGAGCATCACATATTGCGCACAGGTATTGATATTCAATTTTGTACCCCACAGATATGTACAATCAACTATGTTTCAATAAATAAAAAAGAAAACAAATTAATTTTAAAAAGATGAATATTTTAAATTCCTTTAGTGTTTTTTCAAAAAACTAAAATTATACCTAAATATCAAACTGACTGTCACAAAGCAACATTCAAGTTTCTGTTTAAGAACTTAATTTGACAATTTGTTGAGGACATTATAAAAATAACTACTATGCCCTCTAACCCACCAATTTGTACTTCTCGCAATTTATACTATAAACTATCACAGGTATGTAAAATCTGCACACAAATAATGTCAAGATGAACTTAGAGAAAATTAAAGAATAAGTATGATTTGTAACAATGAATATACACTAATAAATCATGTAAAAAAATAAAAAGGGATAAACTATAGATTCATGCAACAACATGGATAAATCTCAAAATAATCATGCCAGGTGAAAGAGGCCAGACAAGAGTACATTCTATATAGTTTTCCCACAAATGCTTTGGTTATAAGCGACACAGTTAAGATTTAAGTCATGAAGGTCAAGAGAAGGCAAACGAGATCTCAGTGGCCCATGAGATTATTTATTTATTTATTTTTATTTTTCTTAAAAGATGACCAGTAAGGGGATCCTAACCCTTGACTTTGTGTTGTCAGCACCACGCTCTCCCAAGTGAGCCAACCAGCCATCCCTATATAGGGATCTGAACCTGTGGCCTTGTGTTATCAGCACCACACTCTCCCAAGTGAGCCACAGGCTGGCCCCTCCATGAGATTATTTATGAAGGTGGTGCAGGTTTATGAAGAAGCCTAGACAAGGATGTCACTCACCTGCCCTTGATTTGTCTATGAAGCAGCCTTCTGGAGATTTGCTTATGTACTGGAGTCTCAGACACATTCTTAGTCAGCAGTTTGTGATGAACTAAAATGTAAAAACAGCTTTAATTACAAATTTCACTTAACTCTAGGAAGAAGCAGTGGCAAGGCAAAGGGAGCAGTTCACACTTCGACTCAACACGATGGAACAGTTTATCAGCATGGGCCGGCCCGGTGGCGCACTGGATAGTGCGCTGCTTGGGAAGCGCGGCGGCGCTCCCGCCCGAGGGTTCGGATCCCACGTACAGACCGGTTCCCGCTCACTGGCTGAGTGAGGCGCGGGAGCAGCACCGAGGGTTGCAATCCCGTTGCCGGTCCCGGTCCGGTACGGGGGCGACACTGAGGGTTGCGATCCGTTGCCGGACACGGAAAAAGACAAAAAAAAAAAAAAAAAAAAGAAACGGTAAAGGGCCGGCCTGTGGCTCACTCGGTAGAGTGCGGTGCTGATAACACCAAGGCCGCGGGTTCGGATCCTATATAGGGATGGCCGGTTTGCTCACTGGCTGAGCGTGGTGCTGACAACACCAAGCCAAGGGTTGACATCCCCATACCGGTCATCTTAAAAAAAAAAAAAAAAAAAAGCTGACAGTTTATCAGCATGATTAGAGATTAAATAATGACACAAGCCAATGTAGAATGTTATGAACTATTTACCTAATAAGCAATCCTGAAAAAATGGTTCTTGCATTTATAATTAAATATGTAAAAATGCTAATATGCCATACAAACGTTAATTAGTACAATAAATATAGTAGGCACAAAATTTCAGTAGAGTAGGTAGCCAAGTTACTCATGGGAGGACTGGTTTAAAGTGAGTTTAAAATGACTAGAAAGAGGAGTGATGTCAGCAAGAATGGTGGAGTAAGGGCCTCTGGAAAAACTCTCTTCCATTAAAGAAATGAGAACACTGGCAAAAATGGTCAAAAGTCAACTTTTTCAGAACTTGAGATTAACCAAAGTTTGCAACAGTCTAGGGAGTATTTATTCAAGAAAAATAGCTGAATCTCAGTAAATACAGTGAGCTATGTGGAGCTTTAACTTGCCCAAGTCCCAACCCCCTCTCCCCAGCCCTGTGCTAGCCTTGAAAACCAATAGTCCACAATCACACTGAAAACCAACCCAGCAGCCTCTGGATGGGGCAGAATGGGGTTGGACCTCCTCCAAAGCCTCATTCCCAGATAACTGTCATCATTTGACCTATCTGGCAGTCCTTTGGCAGATCCTACTCACAAGGCTAGTGTCTACTGGATCTGACTCAGAACTCACCCAGTGCAAACCACCTTTTCCCTGGACACTTACTGAAAACAATAAGCAGCAATTATTAAACATCACAGCTGCCTGAGGTGGTAATAGCACTGGGGCTAACAACAAGCTGACCAAAAGTTTAACAGGGAAAATTGGGGAACGAGATGTCCATAGGGAACTTTGCATACCTCTGACACATTCCTGGGCACTGAAAAGTCTATACGCTTATGTAGAACTGTGTGTTTGTCAGAATAGACCTGAGAAGACCCTAACCTTGAGGCTAACCTTGAGGCTCTGGGAAAGCGAAGTGGAGTTGTAAACTGCCTGGCTGAATGTTGAAAGCATGACCCAACATGCATACAGGGTCCCCTCAGCAGAGGCTGTGAAACTTATAGGTCTCAGGCATTTAAGGAAATCTCTGTCTAGTCATTAACTGACCACTAAGACAACTGAGCAGAGGCTTCAGCGGGCATGCATGACAAAGAACACAGACTTTATTTATTTATTTATTTATTTTTTTCCCTTTTTGTCTTTTTTACTGGCCGGTAACGGGATCGCAACCCTCGGTGTCACGCCCGTACCGGGGACCGGCAACGGGATCGCAACCCTCGGTGTTGTGCCTGCACCGCGCTCAGCCAGTGAGCGGGAACCGGTCTCCACATGGGATCCGAACTTTTTTTTTCCTTTTTTGTCTTTTTTACTGACCAGTAACGGGATCGCAGCCCTTGGTGTTGCGCCCACACCGCGCTCAGCCAGTGAGCGGGAACCGGTCTCCACATGGGATCCGAACCCTCGGCAGGAGCGCCGCCACGCTCCCAAGCGGCGCACTCTCCAGTGTGCCACCGGGCCGGCCCTATTTATTTATTTATTTTTTAAAAGATGACCAGCAAGGGGATCTTAACCCTTGACTTGGTGTTGTCAGCACCACGCTCTCCCAAGTGAGATAACTGGCCATACCTATATAGGGGTCCAAACCCATGGCCTTGGTGTTATCAGCACTATACTCTCCCAAGTGAGCCACGGGCCAGCCCCTAAGAACACAGACTTTAAAGAATTAGTTAAGGGCCGGCCCGTGGCTCACTTGGGAGAGTGTGGTGCTGATGACACCAAGGCCCCGCGTTCGGATCCCATATAGGGATGGCCGGTTCGCTCACTGGCTGAGCGTGGTGCTGACAACACCAAGTCAAGGGTTAAGATCCCCTTACCGGTCATCTTTTAAAAAAATAAAAAAATAATAATAAAAATAAAGAATTAGTTAAGGAAAGTCACTAAACAAACAAAAGTAACAACAACAAACCCTGGGAGGGTGAGGGGGTGGGTGGGTCTGATTGTCAGAGTAGCCTCATTATATTATTTAAAATGTCTAGTTGCCGGGCCGGCCCGGTGGCGCACTGCTATAGTGCGCCGCTTGGGAAGCGCGGCGGCGCTCCCGCCGAGGGTTCGGATCCCACATACAGACCGGTTCCCGCTCACTGGCTGAGCGAGGCGCGGGAGCAGCACCAAGGGTTGCGATCCCGTTGCCGGTCCCGGTCCGGTACGGGGGCGACGCTGAGGGTTGCGATCCGTTGCCGGACACGGAAAAAGACAAAAAGAAAAAAAAAAAAATGTCTAGTTGCCAACAAAATTATGAGACATGCAAAGAAACAAAAAAGTATGGCCCATACACAGGAAAAAGAAAATCAGTCAATAGAATCTGTTCCTGAGGACATTCAGACATTGGATTTACTAGACCCAGACTTTAAATCTGCTATATTAAATGTGTTCAAAGAACTAAAGAAAATCATATCTAAAGTACTATAAAAAATATGAGACTAATGACTTGCCAAATAGAGAATATAAATAAACAGACAGAAATCACGAAAAAGAACCAAATAGAAATCCTAGAGTTGTAAAGTAGAATAACCAAAATGAAAAATTCATTAGAAAGACTCAACAGATTCAAGAAGGTAGAAGAATTAACAAATTTGAAGATAGATTAGTTGAGATTATCCAGTCTGAGAAACAGAAAGAAAAAAGAATTAAGAAAAATGAACACAGTGTCAGACACCTGTGGGACACCATCAAGCATAATGACATACCCAGAAGGGAAGGAGAGACAGAAAGGCACAGAAAGAATATTTGAAGAAATGTTGGCCAAAAATGCCTCCAATTTGATGAAAGACATTACATATCCAAGAAATTCAATAAACCCAAATAGGATACAGTCAAAGAGATCGAAACTTAGACAAATCATAATCAATCTATCAAAAGTGAAAAAAGAAAATCTTGAAAGTAGCCAGTGCAGCAATTCACCAGGTACACAGGATTCTCAACAAGATTAGCAGAAGATTTCTCATCAGAATTCAAAGTGTGAGAGAAAAAAGGCAGTCTACAAAGAATTCTATACCCAACAAAACTATCATTCAAAAATGAAGGAAAAATTAGCACATTCCAGATCTAAGGAAAAACAAAACAAAACAGATTTGTCACTAGCAGACCTACCCTACAAGTAATAATAAAGGGAGCCCTTCAGGCCTAAAGGAAAGGGCACTAGAGCAACTTGGATCTACATGATTAAAGAGCACTGGCAAAGGTAACTATATAAGTAAATATAAAAGATAGTACAAAAGTATTTTTTGTTTGTAACTTGTTTCCCCCCTGTGATTTAAAAGATAAAGCAATAATTATAAATCTGTGTTAATGGGCATAAAATGTATTGAGATGCAATTTGTTTAACAGCACAAAGGAGGGATAGAAAATGGAACTATATAGGAACAAAGTTTTTTTAAACTACTGAAAGTTAAGTTGGTATGAATTTGAACTAGGTTTCTGTAACCTAAGATATTAATTGTAATCCCCAGGGGGAGTAAAGTCATGCAAAATGGTGAGAAGAAAGCTCTAGAGGCCAGTCCCTCTACCAAAACAACTAGTAAACTAGAAAAAAAAAGGATCGGAATCAACCATTTTGGAATTCTGGAGCCTAACTGGACACTTATAACAACCTGGAAAGTGCTTGATAAAGGGAGAGGCTGCTGATCTTTATAGTAAGGGTATGATGTGCATGAACCAGCTACTATTCCCTTTTCCTCAGCCCACTACAGGGGGGATGGCAGCCTACATTCCAAGAGCAGCTGGCTGGTGCTAGGGAAGATAGCAAGGACCTTCTCCTCCAAAAATGTGTGGTTGCATGCTTTGGTCAGTCTGGTGAATATCTGTGGGATTGGTGCCGACAATGCTTTGGTTTCAGTCCACTCAGGCTTTCCTTCTTCCCCACAGTATCCATCAGAAGATTTATATATCAGAAGATCCACACTGAGACACATTATAGTCAAATAGTTAAAACCTGAAGACAAAGAGAATTGAAAACAGCAATAGAAAAGCTGCTCAATAAGATTAATAGCTGATTTCTCATCAGTAACCTTGAAGGCCAGAAGTCAGTGGATGACATATTCAAAGTCCTGAGACTGGAACACCTTTTTCCCCCTTCCTCTATGGAGCCAGACATTTAAACTTTTGTCATGCTGATTACAGAGATAACAGGAACTGCAGTGACCACATACAATAAAGGATACATATTTTATGAAAATAGTTTGGAAAATACACAAATGAACAGCTGTAGCCCTCAATAAGCAAAGATTAGAAATCCCTGAGAAGTGGGAGAACCTGATTTCCAGCTACCACATTATAATATCTCTAATATCTAGTTCTTAACAAAAAAATGACAAAATATACAAAAAAATAAGAAAGTATGGATTATTCAGAGGAAAAAAGAATGACAAAAACCATTCTTAAAGAAGCCCGGATTTGGAATCATTACTCCAAGAATCTCAATGAACTCCAAGCAGGATAAACTCAAAGAGATCCACACTGAGACACATTATAGTCAAATAGTTAAAACCTGAAGACAAAGAGAATTGAATACAGCAATAGAAAATCTGCTCAATAAGATTAATAGCTGATTTCTCATCAGTAACCTTGGAGGCCAGAAGTCAGTGGATTACATATTTAAAGTCCTGAAAGATAAGAGGCTGTCATCCAAGAATTCTGTATCCTTTATGAATAAAGTAGAAATGAAGACATTTCCAGATAAACAAAAGCTGAGGGAGTTCATTACTGGTAAAACTGCCCTATAAGAAAAGCTAAGGGAGTATACTCAAGCTAGAAAAAAAGGACACTAGATAGTAACTCAAAATCATTAAAAGAAATAAAGAACACCGGTAAAGGTGAATATGTAGGAAAATATAAAAGCCAGTATTATGGTATTTTTGGTTTGTAACTCATCTTTTTTTCCTATATGATTTAAAAGGCAAATCTATAAAACAAAATTATAAATCTACATTAATGGGGACACGATGTGTAAATGTGTATTCTATGACAATAACAGTATAAAAGGGAAGGGACAGAAATATATAGGAGCAGAGAAAAGGACCAGAACAACTAACAGAAAACTAAATACTGACAGGTGCATCTGTGGGAGAGTGTAGGAGTGAAGCAGGAGACTGATGAAATCCTTGTGGAGCACGAAAGCCCAGGTTGGTGGCATAGAGAGGAGAGGAGCAAATGGCTCAGCTACACTTCTTCAATCAGTGAAGGAAGAATTTTCCCTTGTGGTGAAAAGGTAGGCAGAGAAACCACACCAACCCCCACCCTCACCCCAGAGGCCTGCAGATCCTTTGGCAGGACAGGCCCAGAGCCAAGTGTGGGGAGCGGCCTAGAAGACACACACTGCATCACTCTAGAACACCAATACAAATGGTGCACTCCCCACCCCCACCCTCATGACCCAAGCTGATGCAGGACATCTTGAAACCAGAGCATGCCCTGCCCTGGGGCCAGTAGCCACTGTGTTTCCCCAGTCTTAAGGCTCTGCCCTAGTTTCAGCGTACTCACACAAGAAGCTACGATGCCCTGATCCTAGTGGCTTGAAGCCTGGGTTCACAGGGGCTGTGACTCTAGTTCTGCAGTGTGGAAAGCCAATCCTACTCCTGCTGAACTGATGCACCCCCACATCCCTGGCCAGAGATCAGACAGGCACATCCTCCTCAGGTGGACCACCCTCAATTCCTCCCCTTACCTCCCCAGCCCCACCAGCTGACTGAATTGTGTGCACCTGAGCCCCCAAGCCAGAAAAACAGCTCATGGGTCTCTCCCTAACAAATGCGCCCTTGGACTATTGGAAATAAAGTGCATCCACCCCTTCCAGAGAAGAGGGGCCAGGCAGTTCCGTCCTGAACAGTCTTACCTAGCAGCCTTGCCAACAGTACCAGAAGCAGCTGGACAGGTTCCCTCACTGCAGGTCTGCCTACTGGCCTTACCAACAGTTGAGAATTTACTGGACAGGCCTTTTCACTGTAAGCCTCCCTAGTGGCCCTGCCCACCAACTGGTAAGTGGCTGGTTGGGCCCCCTTGATGCAGGCCTGCCTAGCAGCCTTGCTAACAGTCCAAGAAAAATCTTTGTACTAAGAGAGAAAGAAGGGCACTATATAATGATAAAGGGACCAATACAGCAAGTGGTTATAACAATTATAAATATATATGCACCTAACACTGGAGTACCCAAATATATAAAGCAATTATTATTTGCATCTGACAAAGGATTAATATCCAGAATATACAAAGAATTCAAACAATTTCATAGTAAAAAAACAAATAATCTGATTAAAAAATGGGCAAAGGAACTGAATAGACATTTTTCAAAAGAAGACATACAAATGGCCAATAGTCCACTTGAAAAAATGCTCAACATCACTAATCATCAGAGTAATGCAAGTCAAAACCACAATGAGGTATCATCTCACCCCAGTTAGGATGTCTATCATCAAGACAGAAAAAACTAAATGCTGGTGAGGATGCAGACAAAGGGGAATTCTTTTACATTGTTGGTGGGAATGTAAATTAGTACAGCCACTATGGAAAACAGTATGGATGTTTCTCTAACAACTACAGGTAGAACAACCACATGATCCAGCAATCCTGAAACTGGTTATATATCTAAAGGAATGGAAATCAACAAGTTGAAGGGTCACTTGCACTCCCATGTTTATCATGGCTCTATTGACAATAGGCAAGAGTTGGAACCAACCTAAATGTTCTTCAATGGATAATTAGATAAAGAAAATGTGGTATATATACACAATGGAATACTAATCAGCCATAAAAAATAATGAAATTCTGCCATTTGCAGCAACATAGGTGAGCTTGGAGAAAATGTTAAGTGAAATAAGCCAGGCATAGAAAAATACCACATTCTCACTCATATGTGGATGCTAAAAAAGTTGATCTCACAGAAGTAGAGAGTAGAATAGTGGTTACTAGAGACTGGTGGTGGTGGAAGGGAATGAGGAGGTGGGGAGATGGTGATCAGTGGATCCAAAATATTAGAGAGATAGGAAGATCCAGGGTTCTATAGTAATATAGGGAGACTACAGTCAACAACAAAGTACTGTATATCTTTGAGTATCTAGTCAAGATGATGTTGAATGTTCCTAAAACAATGAAGTAACAAATGTTTCAGGTGATGGATATACTAAGCAACCTGATATGATCATTGCACATAGTATGAATGTACACAAACATCATATTTTACTACATAAATATATACGATTATCATGGGTCAATTAAGAAAAATAGGAAAAAAAGAAAAATAGAGAGTAGAATAGTGGTTAGCAGAGGCAAGGAAACAGAGTGGAGTGGGGGCCAGGGAAATGTTGGTAGACTGGTACAAAGTTACAAAGTTACGGTTAAATAGGAAGAATAAGTTCTGGTGCCCAAGGGTGACAACAGCTGATAACTGTATTGTATATTTCAAAATAGCAAGAAAAGAGGATCTTGAATGTTATAACCACAAAGAAATGAAAAATGTTTAGGTGATAGATATGCTAACAGTTCTGATTAGATCATTATCCAATATATGTATATATTGAAACAAGAAAATGTACTCCATAAATGTGTACAATGGGAAAAAAATTTAAATAAAAAAAAGAAAAAAATATATATGTAGGAGTAGAGTGTTGGTATACTATTGAAACTACACTGGTTTTATTCAAACTAGGTTGTTTTAAGATCTTAATTGTGATCTCCAAGGTAACCACTAAGAAAATAACACTGCAATTAAGCAGAGAATGGCAGAATGGATTAAAAAACGTGATCCCACTATATGCTGTCTAGAAGAGACTCCATTTAGATACAAAGACAAAGAGGTTGAAGAGGATAGCAAAAAATATTCTATGCAAAAGAACTGGGGTGGCTATATTATTGTTGAACAAAATAGATAAAGCCAAAAAAGGTTAAAAAAGACAAAGTACATCACGTATTGATAAAAAGTTCAAGCCATCAGGAAGATATAAAAATTATAAACATATACACACCTAACAAAATATATGAAGCAAAAAACAGATAGAATTGAAGGGAAAAATAGATAATTCAACAATAATAGTTGAAGACTTTAATACTCTACTTTTCAATAATGGATAATTAAACAAAAGCTCAACAAGGAAACAGAAGACTTGAACAACACCATAAACCAACTAGACTTAACACACATCTTCATTCATAGAACAACACTTCATTCGACAAGAGTAGAGTACACATTCTTCTCTAGCACACATGGAACATTCTTCAGGATAGACCAAATGTTAGGCTATAATATAAGTCTCAATAAATTTTAAAAGACTGAAATCATACAAAGTATGTTTTCCAACCTCAATGAAATGAAACTAGAATCAATAACAGAAGAGAACTTGGGAAACTCACAAATACATGGAAATTAATGTGCTCCTAAATAACCAATGGGTCAAAGAAGAAATCACAAGGAAAATCGGAAGATATTCTGAGATGATGAAAATGAAAATACATCATACTAAAACTTACAGGATACAGCTAAAGCAGTGCTTTGCAGCTATAAATGCCTATATTAAAAAAGAAGAAAGAGCAATTAAAAAAAAAAGAATAAAAAGAAGAAGAAAAATATTGAATCAATAACCTAAACTTCTTAAGAAACTAGAAAAAGAGCAAACTAAGCCCAGAGCAAGTAGAGGAAAGGAAATAAATGAAGTTGAGATTAGAAAAACAACAGAGGGGCCGGCCCAGTGGCGCACTGGATAGTGCGCCGCTTGGGAGGCGCGGCGGCGCTCCCGCCCAAGGGTTCGGATCCCACATACAGACCGGTTCCCGCTCACTGGCTGAGCGGGGTGCGGGAGCAACGCCGAGGGTTGCGATCCCATTGCCGGTCCCCGGTCCGGTGCGGGGGAAACACTGAGGGTTGCGATCCGTTGCTGGACACGGAAAAAGACAAAAGACAAAAAAAAAAAAGAAAAAAAAAAAAGAAAAACAACAGAGAAGAATCAGTGAAACCAAAAGTAAGTTATTTGAAAAGATCAACAAAATTGACAAACCTTTACCTAGAGTGACTAAGAAAAAATAGAGAATACTCAAAGTACTAAGTCAGGAATGAAAAAAGGAACGTTACTACCAACCTTACGAAAGAACACCCCTTTTTTTGGTTACCCTAAAATGTAGTACCTTTGGTCTTCTTAAAGTTGTCATGTTTATACTCCAGACCTTCCACAGCTGACACAGAATGGCTTCTAGGCAACCCTCGCTTTAGGGATCTCTTTGAAGGAGAACATGTTTTCTGGTTGAAGAGATTTCTTCGAACTTTGGTCACTTCTAAAAGCATAAAAAAAAAAAAGAAAGAAAGAAAAAGAAGCCAAATATAATCACCAATAAATGCCATATCTGAGAAAAGAATGATATCCAAAATATAGAAGCTGCTTAAGGAAACTGTTCTACAGACTGACTGTTATATTCACATTTACTAATAAGATTTCCCTAAATAGTATACTCCATGGTGCATTAAAACTGTTTACTCCTACAAATTAAAAAAAAAATTATTATTTTGCATAAGGCAAAGGGCCCAATGTCACTTTTTTTGCATGTGGATATCCAGTTGTTTCAACACCATTTGTTTAAAAGACTATTCATTCCTCTTTGAATTATTTTGGCACTCTGGTTAAAAATTAAGTGACCATAATAAATGGTAGGGTGTTAATTCTTTTTTAAATGTTAGGTAGAAATCAGTAGTGAAGGCATCTAGTCCTGGGCATTTCTTTGTAGGTAGTTTTTTGATAACTAATTCAATCTTTTTTTTTTTTTTTGGTCTTTTTTCCGTGTCCGGCAACGGATCGCAACCCTCAGTGTTGCCCCCGTACCGGACCAGGGCCCGGCAACGGGACTGCAAGCCTGGGTGTTGCTCCCGCGCCTTGCTCAGCCAGTGAGCGGGAACCGGTCTGCATGTGGGATCCGAACCCTCGGGCGGGAGCGCCGCCGCGCTTCCCAAGCGGCGCACTATCCAGTGCGCCACCGGGCTGGCCCTAATTCAATCTTTTTACTTGTTATAAATCTATTCAGATTTTCTGTTTCTTCTTCAGTCTGTTTTCAATAGTTTGTGTCTTTCTAGGAATTTGTCCATTTCATCTACATTATCTAACTTGTTGGTATACAGCTGTTTACAGTATTCCATTAGAAATCCAATTTAAATCCAACTTTTCAGGAAAACAAGGAAGGCCCACCACATCACTTATTAAATTAGAAGCTTTACTAATTGTAAAATGGATATAATTCTTAGTAAGAGAATGGCTAATATAGGTCATAGATTTTTTTAATATATCCCAGTGTTAATGATTATTTTTCTCATTTTGAACCTTTTTCTCTGCTTTATATTCAGCTCAGCCTTGTAGAGAACCGTTCTTTTCAATTCCACAGATTCCATTCTTCTTCTTTTGACTACTTTACTAATCTGCTGGGTAATTTTAAATTCTCTTCCTGATTCCAGAGCATGAGAGTTCTGACTATCTAGACTCAAAGTTAGGAAAAATAGCTGAAAAGTCAAGAAATCCTTGACAAAGTTAGCAAGATGGCACCTTAATCTTAAGCAAATTAGTCTGGTGGAGGTGACTCAAAAATTCAGCAAAGGTGAATTCGTCTAAGAGCAGGTCATTTAAATAAAAACCACATAATCCAGGATCCACAAACTGGGAGCAGCCCTTGTGTTTACCATCAATAACACAAACATTAATGTTAAGGACACCAATAACACACACTGAAGTTTCAAAAAATGTTTCTCTGTCTCCATTATAAGAGTACCTGTTACCCGACTTAGGCAGTCTATGCAAATAACTTATAACCTGAAAGCCAAATCTGATTTGTTATTTTCTATTTTTCCCAACATTTTGAAAAGTTTAATATCTACAGAAAATTTCAAAGAATAAAATAAACATATGTCCATCACTAAAATTCACCAACTGTCAATATTTACTTTCTCCATCTCTCTCTCTACATATGTACAATTTTTCCTTCTGAATACTGGAGAGTAAGATGTGAGCCTCACAGCTATTCACTTCCCTATATATCAGCATGTACTTTCTAAGAATAAGGACATTCTCCTACATAACCACAATGCCAGTATTACACTTGAAATATTTTTAACATTGATACATTATCTAGCATACAATCCTTCTTCAAATTTCTCTACTTGTCTCAATAATATCCTTTCTAGGTTTTTTTTTTCATACTAAATTTAAGATGTAAGCAAGGATCATGGAGTGCATTTAGCTATCATGCTTAAACTGTTTCCATCTGAAACAATTCCACTGCCTCTTTTCTTTTTTGGCTTTCATAATAATGGCATTTTTAAAGATTTCAGGCCAGTTATTTTGTAAAATGCAGTATTTTGAGACCATGTGAGTATCTTATTTCCCTAGGGCATGGTATTTGGACATATTTTATTAACCAATAATGATATAAAGCCATAATTTATAATTGTATGCAGCTGCTTAAATACATGCAATCAAAATAAATTGGGCATAAATGCAGAAAATAAAGTATACCTTGCACTGTATCTTTCACTGGGAGTGGAGGCTGCTGAAGAGCAGGGCAAGAGTTCTCCTGAAAGATGAGAAAATCTAATAAGAAAATTTAAATAGGCATTCATTTAAAAGAATAAAAATTCCATGTGGAACTCTTTGACCCTTGCACTTCGCTTATACGGATCCATAACAGAAACAATAAAATGCACACAAATAGATATGTTCCAAAGACACTCACCTCCATTGTAATAATACAAAATAAGAAACACCATAGATACCCATAAAGAGTGAAATAAATTGGGCCGAGCCCGTGGCGCACTTGGGAGAGTGTGGTGCTGGGAGCGCAGCAGCCCTCCCGCCACGGGTTTGGATCCTATATAGGGATGGCAGGTGCGCTCACTGGCTGAGTGCCGTGCGGCCCATCTCAAAAAAAAAAAAATAGAAAAAAAAAAAAAAAGAGTGAAATAAATAAATTATACACCCATACAATGCAGACATTAAAAGAATAAGGAAGACCTATAAAAATGGATATAGAAGGAAGACCTATATATACTAACATAGAAAGAGATGTGTGATGGGGAAAAAGTTAAAAAAAAAAAAAAGGAATAATAAGTATAGTAGGTTAAATAATTTCTAATGATTATGTATATGTGTGTATATAACAGATACGTACAAACCTTTAGTGTTTGTTATTGGTATATATAGAAAAGGGACCGGGAATATACACAACAAACTGTCATTGGTGATTACTTCTAAAGAATGGATGGAGAAGGGACAATTTAACTTTTAACTTTATATAATTTCACTTTTTAACGATGGTCATGTATAACTTTTATACCTAAAAATAAGGGAAAAGCCATATTTATTAATTTGAGGGTAGCTATACTCTTAGGAGCATTTCTGTATCAAATTGCTGTTTACTTGCTATTATAGTAGAAAATTCAAGTCTAAACCTCAGGCGCACCTAAAAAAGGGAACAGTTTTTAAAAATATTTTTTGTGTATTTTTTCAATTATGCCATTGTAATAATTGAAGAATAAACTATCACACATGGGCAGAGATGTTATGAATGATCTCAATGACATAAGCAACACATTGTTGGTAAGACATGAAATATGATAATTCTTAGTCATTTATATTGGTTAGTAATAACTCTTTTAAAGAGTTAAATTACAATTATAAAAATATGTTATACATCTGATTTCCTAATACAGGGGTCAGCAAACTACAGCATGCAGAGTAAATCTGGGCCACTTTTGTTTTTGAAAATAAAGTTTTACTGAAACATAGCCATGCCCATTTGCTTACATTCTTGTATTGTCTATTGCTGCCTTCCAACTACAACAGAACTGAGTAGATATTACAGAGACTGTACGGCCTGCAAAAGCTAAAACATTTACTATCTCTTTACAGAAAAAGTTTGCCCACCCTTATTAATCCATATGACTGAAAGAAAAACTAAGACAGTATGTCCAGGAAGTACTGTGGGTGATTTTTAGTCATTGTGCTCTTTTGGAGTTAGGATATGAAAAAGAAATAAAAGACATTAATATAATTAATATATAAGTAATTAATATTATGTGTCTACAGTTATGCTACAAATTCACTATTTCCTGAGTTAACTATATTGATCCTTCAGAGGATACATTTATTCTATAAAAACTTGACCTCTGATGCTTTCAGTTAAAGAACTGTCACTTATCTATGATACTAATTTTGACATGAAAAAATATTCTTTATTAACCAAAATCAAATCCTGATCTCAGTAAATCTGGTCTTAAAGAAATAAATTGTCCTGGCTAACCTAAAACAAAAGTTTCAAAAGAGTGCTAGAAAGGACTGAAAATCATTATAAAGTCCAGTGAGAAAGGAGGTCTGACAACTTTTGGCCCTCCACTTTTGGATTTTGCACTCTTCAATCAGGATTGCAAGATATATAAGATTTGTGTCTTATTCACAGGTAAGGTACAGTAAGAAAGTGAATAAAGAGATTTCACCTCCAATTCCAAAGGAAAGTTACAAATATCTAGAAACAGAGAACAAACCACTATTGTAATGATTAATGCTTCTAAAGCTAGTTCTCATAGAAATTTTAACTCTTGGGCCAGCCCGTGGCTCACTTGGGTGAGTGCGGTGCTGATAACACCAAGGCCATGGGTTCGGATCCCATATAGGGATGGCCAGTTAGCTCAATGGGTGAGCGTGGTGCTGACAACACCAAGTCAAGGGTTAAGATCCCCTTACCAGTCATCTTTTTAAAAAAAAAAAGAAAAAGAAATTTTAACTCTTCTCAGATAGTTCATTCAGTCCAAAAGTTTCATTGCATTTTTAGTTTCCCTTTTTCCTTAGTAAGACTTTAATACCACTTGGTAAATAGATTACAGCTATGTTTCTTTTTTTACAACCAATAAAAACTTTAAGTCCTTATATCTACCACCACAGGAAAACCAATTACTACCTGGCTTCATGACAGTCATTGTCTTCTTTTTTCTTTTTAAACTTGTTACTGAACTTTCTTTTTTTTTTTTTGGTGGCTGGCTGGTACAGGGACCTGAACCTGTGACCTTGGTGTTACAAGGCTGTGCTGTAAACAACTAAACTGGCCAGCCCCTGAACTTTCTGAAATGCAACCAGATTGTATATTGCTTTTCAGTGACCTCTTTGCTTATTTTAGCTACTATTTTGTAAGTTTTCTTATTTACATTAAAGATTTTGAATTAATTTATTCATTCCTAATTTTTACTTACTGTTTTTCTTCAGATTACCCCTATCACACTTGGGTAAAATGGTTAATCTCTTACCAAATTAATATTTATTTATTTCTTGGATTATAGCTTTATACACATTCATAAAAACATTTAATATTATTTCTGTATCGTCCAAAGTCCATTTCCTAAAAGAGGAGAGACTGCCTTTCATTCTTATTTATTGTGTCAACTCAAGCAGAAAGATACAACTGTGTCTTTTGTCTACTGGAGATTACTTACATTTTTCGTAGCTCTCTTGGACACTTTGGGAATTTCAATTTGTCGAAGATTCTGCGAACCCTCTACAAAGCTTTTATGTCTTATTAATGGATTTTTCCTTTTAAAAACAGAAGTGGTCAAGACGCATTACATAGAGGTTACGTGCAGTTAAGTTAGAATGGAACTAGAGTCTAAAATAAAACATTATTTAAATAAAAGCCAGTTATCTTGGGGTTGGACTGGATTTATAACAAAACAAGGCAACCCCAGAATTTCCAAAAGTAATCACCATAAATTCAACTAGTTATTAACAATGAAAAGCATCAAGGGAAATTTTAAAAAGTAAGCTGAAAGCCTGAGCTTATTTCATAAAAGGCTCCTAGGTCCTGGAGACCCCATGTGGACAGTAAGGAAGGGCTTTGTGAACTGCAAAATAAGTACTATACGTTCCCTAAATACTGTAAAGAGTTTCAGATGCTGCTTGTTAAGAACTCCAACAGTTGGCTTCTAAGATTCAGACAACTATTAATTCAGTAAAGTATATGGACAAAGACAACTGAACTATGATTTAAACATGCCCTTTGTCAGAACTATAACTAACAGTGCAAGTAATTCCTTCTATTCTTCCTACCTTCTCTTCTTGGCTGATCTGGTACGGAGCTCCTCCAGTTGGTCAGATTCAGTGTTGCCTGGCACTGTGTGAGCACTTGCCAAAAGAGGCACAGAAAGAAGTGGTGATTTGTTCTCTTGTGTCATGGAGTCATCACTGAAAAAATCTGTAGGAAGGACACCAGCCAGCTTCTGAGGAATCACAAACCCTAGGCTGTTGTAAAGATTTCCAAGTGTCCTTGGGATAGAGTCAATATACCTGTGGAAGAGATTGGTTAATATAGAATAGAGAATTGCCATCTCACCCTCTATTCCGTCCCCCATCCAGCATAAGGAATAGTTCTTACAATTCCATAGTTCTTAGACAATACATATGTAGTTCTTGCAAAATAATTTTAAAGTTTAGTAGTCATCAAACTTACAATCTCAAAATTTCCTCCAGAAACTTTGCTAGGTATGCTGAGTCCTCAGTTAAACACACCATGCGCAGAAAATCTGTCACCTGAAGGAGAGTTAGAAAATTACCATGTGCCCTCTTCAGGGAATCTGAAAGCATCTAGAGCATATTCCCAATGGCACTAAGCTATAAACTTGCCTCCTCCACTATTTGCTCCATATCATCTGTACTTTCATATATTGAAGGGCATTGCAGGCACATCTCCAAACGAAGAAACACCTGAAGCTGGCACCTTGAGAAAAGAAATACTTGGTCATATCTACTTTGAGTGCCACTTAACTGAAAGCTCCTTCCTTAAGCATAGATCTGTTTACATAAGAAATTATAACCACAAAGGAAAAGAGCCACTACTTTCTCTAAACACTGATATGGTTATTAGGGAAATAGATACCTTGAACTACACATTAGAATATCATAAAAAATCAGCTACAAAAGCATCTTCAAGCAATAGGCAATCTACTTTAAACTGACACAAGCAAATCTCAGAGCTTTGTTTTGGAGTAACAGTAAACAAACAAAAAAAGGTAGTTACTTACTCTCTGACTTTGTCTTCCTTATCCAGTTTTTTCCCTAAATTCTGTCGAAGACTTTTGCTAGTTTTTAAGATGTTATTTTTCACTTGATTTAGGCAGTTCATCTGAAAATACAAAATTATTATATAGGAGAATAGAAAAGTTATCATTTCTAATTTTTTTCAGTTAATTAATGCCCTAAGAAGGGAAATACCTTCCCTTACAAATTTCCCTCTTCTCTTATTTGAGTGAAAAATACTGAAATGAATATTTTTCTTTTATATCTTTATATTCTTCTTTTATTACATGGCAAAAAAGTATCTGAGAGCAAGTGGGCATGGATATAGCAAGTCTATAGATTTGAACTACCTTAAAAGGAAGGTTCCATAAAGTAGTGACTGACAAGCTTACGTATTATAAATAACCCCTCCTGTTTGCTTTAGAGAGAGCCCAACTTTTGCCACTGAATGTGAAAAACAGTGATAACATGGTCTATAACAGTGGTTTGCAATGTTCCCAGTGCATAAACATCACCTACAGAGCTTTTAGAAGTACAGATACCCAGGTACCGACCCCAGAGATCTGTTTTCAGTTAGTCTGGAGGGAGTCAGGCATCGACGTTTTTAAAAAATGTTCCAGGTGATTCTAAAGTGCAACCAGGGTTAAAAACCATTGGCTTAATTCATGTAGCTAACATGCAGCTCAAATGAAGAAAGAGCTTTCCTTAGGAGAAAAGTACATGTGATTACCCTCGCTCACTTCATTTCTTTGATTTTTGCTTTACCAATTCACCACACCAACTTTCCAAGATCTGGAATTATACTCACCTTATCATTTTTGAATCATTTATGGCATAATAGACATTTTCCAAGACATATGAACCAAATTCACCAACAACCAACCAACCACTACATCTGTGACAAACAACATCCAGATTCTCTTACTTCTAATTCCTTGGTGCCTTTTGATTTTAGGAACACTTTAATGGTTGAGATCATGTTACGGGCACATGAATACATGACTTCTCCTGTGGCCACGGTCTTTTGGTAATTTTCATGTATGTAAGATAGTAGCTCCTCCTCAGTTTTAAAATCTGGGGAAAAAAGTATAATTGATTATCACATCCAGCTCAAGTCCTTGTATTATTTAAGCTAGTGGTTGTCAACTGGGAGAGATTTTTGCCTCCCAGGGGATGTTCACCCATGTCTGGATTGTCACAAGTGGTTGGGGGACTACTGACATCTAGTGTGTAGAGGCCAGGGATGCTGTTAAACATCCTGTGATGCATAAGACAGCCCCCACAACAAAGATTTTCCAGTCCAAAATGTCAATAGTGCTGAGACTGGGAAAATACAGAGATAAGTGATTAATTTTAAGGCTTTGTAAATCAAGTGTACATGTTAAAAGTTTAAGGGTAGGAAGAAATAAAACTGTCTTTGTTCACAGATGACACAATTGTCTATGTAGAAAATCTGAAAGAATCAACAAGAAAACTCTTGGAACTAACAAACGATTATAACAAGGCTGCAGGATACAAAGTTAATATATAAAAGTCTATCACTTTCTTATACACCCACAATGTACAAGTGGAATTTCAAATTAAAAACACTTTACTGTGTACATCAGCACCCCTAAAAATGAAATACTCAGGTATTAAATCTAATAAAATATGTACAAGGTTTACATAAGGAAAACTAAAAACTCTGAGAGAAATAAAAAAACTAAATAAATGGAGAGATATTCCATGTTCCTGTTTGGGAAGACTCAATATTGTCAGGATGTCAGTTCTTCCCAATTTATCCATTGATTCAATGCAATCTCAATCAAAATCCCAACAAGTTATTTTGTGAATATTGACAAACTGATTCTAAAGTTTACATGGAGAGGCAAAAGACCCAGAATAGCCAATTCAATATTGAAGGAGATAAACAAAGTTGGAGGACTGACACTACCTGACTTCAAGACTCACTATAAAGCTATAGTAAATGTGGTACTGGCAAAAGAATAGACAAGTAGATTAACGGAACAGAATAGAGGGTGCAGAAACAAACCCACATAAATATAGTCAATTGACCTTTGACAAAGGAGTAAGGCAATACAATAGATAAGATATATATTCAACAAATGGTGCTAGAACAATTGGACATCCACGTGCAAAAACAAAAACAAAAAAAGAATCCAGACATAGACCTTTCATCCTTCACAAAAATTAACTCAAAATGGATCACAGACCTAAATGTACAAAGCAAAACTATAAAACTGCTAGAAGATAACATAGGAGAAAATCTAGATGAACTTGGGCATGGGGATGACTTTTTAGATATAACACAAAAGGCACAACCCATAAAAGAAATAATTGATGGGCTGGCCCCATGGCACACTCGGGAGAGTGCAGCGCTTGGGTGCGCAGCAGCACTCCCGCCGCGGGTTCGGATCCTATATAGGGATGGCCGGTGTGCTCACTGGCTGAGCGCGGTGCGGGCGACACCAAGCCAAGGGTTGCGATCCCCTTATTGGTCACAAAAAGACAAAAAAAAAAAAAAAAAAGAAATAATTGATAAGCTGAACTTCATTAAAATTAAAAACTTCTGGGGCCGGCCCGGTGGCGCACTGGATAGTGCGCCGCTTGGGAAGCGCGGCGGCGCTCCCGCCCGAGGGTTCGAATCCCACATGCGGACCGGTTCCCACTCACTGGCTGAGCGGGGCGCGGGGGCAGCGCCGAGGGTTGCGATCCCGTTGCCGGTCCCCGGTCCAGTACGGGGGCAACACTGAGGGTTGCGATCCGTTGCCGGACACGGAAAAAGACAAAAAGACAAAAAAAAATAAAAAATAAAAAAAAAATAAAAACTTCTGCTCTGCCAAACACACCATCAAGAGAATGAGAACACAAGCCACAGACTAGGAAAACATATTTACAAAAAACGTATCTGATAAAGGACTTTTATCCAAAATATGAGTATACAAGGAACTGTTAAAACTCAGCAATACTGGGGCCGGCCGTGGCTCACTCGGGAGAGTGCAGTGCTGATAACGCCAAGGCCGTGGGTTCGGATCCCATATAGGGATGGCCGGTTCGCTCACTGGGTGAGCTTGGTGCTGACAACACCGAGTCAAGGGTTAAGATCCCCTTACCGGTCATCTTTTTAAAAAAACAACAACAACAACAAAAAACTCAGCAATAAGAAAACAACTTGATTTTAAAATAGGCAAAGGACCTGAACAGACACCTCACCAAAGAAGATATACAGATGGCAAATAAGTATATGAAAATATGTTCAGCATCATATGTCATCAGAGAAATGCAAATTAAAGCAAGGAGATACCACTACAGATCTATTAGAATGGCCAAAATCCAGAACACTGACACACCAAATGCTGGAAAGGATGTGGAGCAATGGGAACTCTCATTCATTGCTGGTGGGAATGTAAAATGGTATACAGCCACTTTGGAAGAGTTTGGCAGTTTCTTACAAAATTAAACATATTCTTACCATATGATCCAGCAATCATGCTCCTTGGTATTTACCCAAATGAATTGAAAACATGTCCACACAAAAACCTGTACAAGAGGCCGGCCCGTGGCTCACTTGGTAGAATGCGGTGCTGATAACACCAAGGCCGCGGGTTCGGATCCTATATAGGGATGGCCGGTTTGCTCACTGGCTGAGCGTGGTGCTGACAACACCAAGCCAAGGGTTGAGATCCCCTTACCGGTCATCTTTAAAAAAAAAAAAAAAAAAACCTGTACAAGGATATTTATAGAGCTTTATTCATAATTGTCAGAACTTGGAAGCAACCAAGATGTCCTTCCATAGCTGAATAGATAAACTGTGGTACATTCAGATAATGGAATATTATTCAGTGCTAAAAAGAATTGAGCTATCAAGCTGTGAAAAGACAGGGGGAACCTTAAATGCATATTACAAAGTGAAAGAAGCCAATTTGGAGAGGCTACATACTACATGATTCCAACTATGATATTGTAGAAAAGGCAAAACTATGGAGACAGTAAAAAGATCAGTGGTTACCAGTGGTTAGCGGGGAGAGAGGGATGAATAGAAAGAGAACAGACAAAATTTTTTATTTTTAGGCAATGAAAATACTCTGTATGATACTACAATGGTGGATACATGTCATTACACATTTGTTAAAACCCACAGAATGTAAAACAAGAGTAAACCCTAATGTAAACCACAGACTATGGGTAACAGTGATATGTCAACATAGGTTCATCAATTGTAACAAATATGAGAGTACTTCAAAAAGTTTATGGAAAGATTCATATTATATTTAATTCTATTTTTCCATGAACTTTTTTTTTCTTTTTGTCCTTTTTAGTGACCGGTAAAGAGATCGCAACCCTCAGTGTCGCACCAGCAACGGGATTGCAACCCTCGGGGTCGCACCCGCACCGCGCTCAACCAGTGAGCAGACTGGTCTCTATATGGGACCCGAACCCTTGGCGGGAGTGCCGCCGCGCTCCCAAGCGCCACACTCTACCGAGTGCGCCACTGGGCCGGCCCTCCATGAACTTTTTGAAGCACCCTCATGTACCACTGTGTTGTGCGATGTTGATAATGGGGGAAGTTGTGTGAGAGGGGGACAGCGGGTATATGAGAACTCTGTGTACTTTATGTTCAGTTTTGCTGTGAACCTAAAACTGCTCTGAAAAATAAAATCTATTAAAACAAATTAAGGGTAACCACTAATGGAAAAGAAATAATCTATATAACCTCCAAACCTAGCAGAAGGGAAAAATAGGAATAAAGGAAATTTGAGTAATCCCACAGAATACTGGAAAAGAAAAAAAAATAAAGAAAGAAAAAGCATGGTAAATAGCACAAAACAAGACATTAGAAATAAACCCAATCTAATCAGTAATTATAATAATTGTAAACATTTATTTTACAAGTAAACCTGCTAGTTAAAATATAGAAACTGAGGGGGAAGGGGAGAGATTGGATAAAGGATATAAAGAATAAGTATGATTTGTAACAATGAATATACTAATAAAAAATAAAATAAAATGAAATAAAAAGAAACTGTCAGATTGGATTAAAAAAATTTACGCTGTTTACATAAGATATACCCAAAACATAACAACAGAGAAATATTGAAAATAAAGGAATAGAAAAAAAAAAGATAGAGGCAAACACTAACCAAAAGAAAGCTGGTGTAGCTATATTAATACCAGACAAAATAAGCTTTAAGGCATAAAGTTATTAGGAATAAGTAAAAAGAATTATTACTCATTGACAAAAGACAGAATCACAAGGGCAATATAAACTTGTATGAACCTAACAAGAACGCCTCAAAATATATGATGCAAACATTGTATATATATATATATATTGATATAACTCTGTTCTCCATAAATTTGTACAACTATCCCAGGTCAATTAAAAAATAATAATAAGGGCTGGCCAGTTACCTCAGTTGGTTAGAGCATGGTGCTGATAACACCAAGGTCCAGGGTTCAATCCCTATACCACCCAGCCTTAAAAATCCAAAACCCAAACTAAACAAAACAATAAGAAAATTAAGAAAAAATATGGTGCAAAAATTGGCAGAACTGCAAGGGTATTTTGACAAATCTACACGGTGGACACTAATACAAACATTTCAGTTATAGATAAAAGAAGCAGAAGGAAACAATTACTAAGAATGTTGAATATTCGAACATTTATAAATTTGATGTAATGAACATATATAGAACCAGGTACTCAACAGTTAGAGAATACACATAATTTTCAAATACACATAAAATATTAACAAAACTTAACCACATATTGGCCAAATTTTCAGCAAATATTAAAGAATCAATACCTTACAAGACACATTGAGCACAGTCCAAAAATATGAAGAACTAATTATAAAATAAAACACTCCCTTATATTATGGATGTCAGAAAATATTTAAAACTACGTATCAAAGAATTTATACTTAAAGGAATATTTCTAGACAAATGATTATTTTTGTAAAGAAGATAAATTAAAAATCAATTAATTATTAGATAAGGGTCCAATATAGGAAGTAACAGAAGAGAGTCAAGCCAAAAAATAAAGGCAGGCAGGCAATAATAAAGATAAAACAAATGAATTAAACAGAAAACAAAGAAACAATAGCAATCAATAGAAACAAAAGATGGTTCTTTGAAAAGCCAGGTAAAATAATCTATAGCAATATTGAACAATTAAAAAAGAGACAGAAAAGGCATAAATATTAGAAATGAAAAAATATAGCAAAAATTCAAAATACTACTAAGAGGTAAGGTCAAGTTTCATTTTTTCCATAAAAATGTTCTGCTGTTCCAGCATCATTTGTTGAAAAGATTGTCCTTTTCCCCACTGAATTTATTGGGCCATCTTTGTCAAAAATCATTTTACCACTGTTGTGCTGGTCTATTTCTGGACAGAACCTAGTGCAGAAATTATGCTACTACTGCACTGTTATAAGTACCATTGGTTATGTTTTTGCTCTCCCTTGCATGTGTCATCCATATTCTCATATACCTTTACTAGTTCATTAAAAATGTTCTGTCTCACTCAAACTCATTGTCATCTATGGATGACATTCCACAGGAAAAAAAATCTTGCAAGGAGCAGAAAACTTTCACCCCAGAATTTTCAAAAGAACTCAAAGGACATCATGCAATTACTGCCCAAAGTTTATAAGCTATGGTCACAATCACCTTACAGGACTGGCACCACCCATGTGAGTTAAGAATGCATCCTGAGAATAAGAAACACACTGTAATTCAATCTATTTAAAAAAAAGAAAAAAGAGCAAACAGGAGAATAAAACCTGCTGGACTAAATTCTTCTGCCTACCTTCGAAAGACATCAATAATCTAGCCATAGATTACTCGTGAGCCTTTTTCCTCTCCCTCTATTCACAAATGTAAAACCTCTTCAGCTACCTGTCCTATGGCCAAGTAATGGCCCTCCTTCTTTGTGACTTTGCTTATGCTAATCTCCCATCTGGAATGCTCTTCTAAGCCTTTCTGCCTTATAAACTCTGCTCATTCTTGCAAGTCTAACCTGGGCCCCACTAGCTCTTAAGAAGCCTCCACAGCCTATTCCAGCCCTGACCTTCCCTTTCTTAACTTCTAGTCTGGTCTTTACTTCCCAAATGGGCATATATTTTCTGTTTTAGACTCTTGGCTCTCTTATATATTAGTTTTGTTAGTTCATCATATATATGTCTATATATATTAATATATACTAGTTTATTAGCTCATTAGTTTGATCTTCGTAGCTAAATCATAAATCTAAGAATATGACATTTTTTTAATTATTTATTGTATTTGCCATAACACACTTTTGAGCCTGTAGCAATGTAGCAGATATTCAATAAGTTAATTGATATGATTAAAACTTATTTAAAAATATGAGGTGTACAAAAGAGTACACATAGACTTAGACATCAAAATGCTATAGAATGGAGGAGTACCTTTAGGTTTAGAACTTCTTAATGCTCTTCCTCTGTCTTCTAATTTATCTGCTGTTCTTCCACTGGCTATCTTTTGGAACCCTTTTTCCCCAGCTGCCTCCGGACTGCCATCTGGATGTAACTTCTGAGCCTTTACATTCAGCCTTGCAACATTCAACATCTTTAAGGAACGGCACATGGTATTCATCTTCTGCCTCACTGGAGTACGAGGGACACCTCCTACCCAAACGACATCATGAAAAGAAAAGTAAATTAACTTTCACTTCTGTGGAATCAAGAACTACTTAAATGTAGATTACTGTGAAAGAATATTGAAATGAAGTATATATTTGCAGAATGATCTGAATTAGGTAGTTCTTGGATCTCTCTCTACCCACAACACAGAGCAGAAAGAGGGCCCTTCTATTAACTGAAGATTAGGAACTAAATATCTCAATGTGATTATATGATTTTTTTCCATAAGGCAAATGCCACAACAGACTCATTTTGGTGTTACCATGGCCACAGGGTTGTGATGAAACTTTTCTAAAAGACAACTTAGCAATTTGCATCAAGAGCCAGTTTTCATACTCTTTAACACAGTATCTTGTTCCTGGGAACTTCTGCTAAGGAAGTCACACAAAGAACAAATTATGCATATGTACACGGTAGTATTAGTTCTAAATGACAAAAACTGAAAATAAGCTAAATGTTCAACAACACGAGAATTCTGTAAATTTTGTTAAGCAATAAGGTAGAATAATAACTAAAAAGGCAAGGTAGCAGATGAACAAATATAATCTGAATACAAAGTTGTATTTAAATTTCTTCAATAACTAAAAATGAAGATGGTTTTATTCATTAGGAAGACAGGATTGTGGGTGGTTTTTAAAATTACTATTGGATTAATGTAATTATTTTCAAATTTGAAATATAAGAATTTGCCCTTCTTTGTTTAGTTACCATTTCAGCCCCATTTCAGGGAATGTCAGTCTTTAAAAACGTACAGTCTCGGGCCGGCCCGGTGGCGCACTGCGATGGTGCGCCGCTTGGGAAGCGCGGCGGCGCTCCCGCCCGAGGGTTCGGATCCCACATACAGACCGGTTCCCGCTCACTGGCTGAGCGAGGCGCGGGAGCAACGCCGAGGGTTGCGATCCCGTTGCCGGTCCTGGTCCGGTACGGGGGCGACACTAAGGGTTGCGATCCGTTGCCGGACACAGAAAAGGACAAAAAAAAACAAAAAACAAAAAAAAACCGTACAGTCTCAAAGAAGACTGCCTTAGAAACAGCCTTTCTATGTGCCTACGTTTCTTTTTGCTGTCTTCTTGATTAGCTACAGTAGATTCTTCACGAGATTTTCTCTGGTACAGCTCGGACAGACAACATGTTAATTCACTTTCAGTTTTGGAAGACTCTTCCTTATTAGCTGAGGCAGCCTGTAGTAACCTGTAAAATCAAGATATCTGATATAAAACCAAAATTCTCATTTTCCAAAATGCTTTAAAATAAAAACAATAGCAAAAAAACCATTATCTTTTTAGAAGCTAATCGAAAAATGTTCCCACAGGATGCCTTCAAAAATATATTTTCTCAGGAGGGAAAATGTCCCTCTTCTCATTTTTATTTGAAAAAACTCATGGGCCAAAGCTGCCTTGTTCACAAAACCATTAATTACATACAATATTGACTTATTAACAGGATTCTTCATGAATAAGGGTACATGTCTAATTATGGCAACTATTTCACTTCTGGGCATCTATAGTTATTGTTTACTCAGTTTCCATACATTAAAGTACAAGATGATGTAATATAGTGTACTAAGTACTGCAATGATTTATGAATAATTCTTATTATTTGGGATTGATAAGAAGAGGAGGAAGTGAGGCAGGGAGGATGATTAGTTATTAAGTGCTTTTCCACCTAGAGCTGAATATCAGTCATTAAGGAAATTATGAAAAAATACAACATTCAAAATGTATTATTTGTATTTCAGTATCTTCCATTATCTGGTATCATCTGATTAAAACATGGGAGAAAGTTATGGTGACATTAGCTGAACAAATATCACAGGTCAGAATATGTGCTGGAGCTATCAGCTTCATAAATGCAGCAGGTCTGAAGCAGATTAATTCTCCAAAAGTGCACTGGTGTTTCCTTTAACAGTGGGGAGGGTTTGCCTTTTTTTCTTTTGTTGTTAATTTTTAAAAACACATGAACCTTTCAAATAGAAAATAGAAAGCAATATGAAATAGACAAGTATGTACCTCCCATCAAGACTAAATACTTGTTAATAGTTTGCCATATCTGCTTCAGATCTTTTTTTAAAGAAATTAAGCATCATAGACACAACAAAAGCCCCACTCCATCTTTTTCCAACCCTTCCTCCCAGAGGTATTCCTAGATTTTTGTGTATCTTATTTATAGAGACATATATATGTAAACAAAACCAATATAAATTATTATATTACATGCTATAAATTTTACATAAGTGATATCATGCAATAGCACCCTTTTGCAATTTGTACTTATATTTTTCATCTTTCCATGTGCATATAAATAGCTTGTTGATTCATATTTACTAACCTATAATAATATTCTATGACTATATTTTACTTATCCATTTCCCTTTTGAGGGTCAGTTGGTTCTTTCTACTTTTTCACTATTAATGACTGGCAATAAATATTCAAGTACAGTTCTTCTTGTGTCTGTGCAAGAATTTCTTTAGTGTAGATATCCAGAAATGGAATTGCTGAGTATCAGAGTATATAAAGTTTCTGCTTATCAGGAATTTCCAAATTGTTTTTTATTTTTATTTTTTTTTTAAAAGATGACCGGTAAGGGGATCTTAACCCTTGACTTGATATTGTCAGCACCATGCTCACCCAATGAGCTAACCAGCCATCTGTATATGGGATCCGAACCCGTGGCGTTGGTGTTATCAGCACCCCTCTCTCCCAAGTGAGCCACAGGCTGGCCCCCCAAATTGTTTTTTAAAATGTTTGTAACCATTTACACATTTCTCTATGTGCTATTATCAGATTTATTAATTTTTGATAATCTAATGGGTATAAAATAAAATCTATTGTGTTTTTCTTACTGTAATTTTAATTTCCGTCTGCCTGAACTGAGTATCTTTTCAAATGAATGGCCTATTGGATTTCTTTTTATGTGAATTGCCTGCTTGCATTCTTATTTCCAATTGGATTGCTTGTCTTATTAAACTTTTAGGAGTTCTGTACTAATCTGAATGCTAATCCTTTGTTGCTTATATGTATTGCAGCCACCCAGGTCCATGACTTGTCTTTTTACTTTAATCATACAGAAATTTAAAAACTCATTAAGGTCAAATCTATCAATCTTTTCTTCTATGGTTTGAGTTTTTGTCTTATTTAAGAAATCCATCCTTACTTTGGAATTCTCCTGGGTTTTTTTTTTTTTTTTTTTAATTCTAACAATTTTAAAGTTTTGCTTTTCACATTTGGCTTTTCAATCTATTAGACACATTATTATCTATGATGTGAGGTAGAAATCTAATTTTTATCTTTTTTCTTGTGGATAGCCAATTGTCACATCACCATTTATTGAATAGTCTATTCTCTCCCTGCTGATTTATAATGCCACCTTTGTCATATGCCAAGTACCCATACATGTGTGGGTCACTTTCTGGGCTCTCCATTCTCTCCCATTGTTCTACTGGTCTATCCTTGCACTAATACCATACTGCCTTATTCAGTGTAGCTTGATGGCAAATCTTGATATAGTGGAAATTATACTGTTTTTGTTCTTGGCCCTTTATTCTTATCCCTCTTTTGCTACATTTATTCCTAGGTACCTTAATAATTATTTAACATAAGTAAATGATATCCTTTGTCTGTAAATTACAATTTCTAATTGTTGACTTTTGGCATGCTATTGACTTTATACCGTGATTTTTATATCCAGCAACACTACTGAATTCTCTCATCAGTTTAATCATTTAAAATCTTTTGGATTTTCTATGAAGACAATCAAACTATCTTCAAATACTTCAATATTTACACCTCATAAAAATACTTTGAGGGGAATTAAAGAAAGACTCAAATAAATGGAGAAATGTACAATGTTCACGAATCAAAAGACTCAACATTAAGATGTCAGTTCTTCCTAAATTTATCTAAGATTCAATACAATCCCAGTCAAAATTCCAGCAGGCTTTTTTGTGGAAACTGACATCCTGATTCTAAAATTTATACGGAATGCAAAGGATCTGCAATAGCGAAAGCAATTCTGAAAAAAACAAAAAACAAAAACAAAGTTGAGAGTATTTATACTACCTGATTTAAAGACTTACTATAAAGCTACAATACATGGTATTGGTATAATACCATATTTAAGACAATGCTATATTAACATGATTTCTGGATTCTATTTTGTCTAGAAATGGATCTACAAAGGTGGTCAATTGATTTTTGACAAAGACGCTGCAGTAATTCAACAGAAAAAGGACTATTTTTTAATAAACAGTATTGGAACAACTGGATAGCTGTATGAAAAAAATAAACCTCAACCTTACCTCTTAATAATAGTTTAAATTACTGCTACATCTTTTACATTTCTACTATTGTTTATCTGTGTCCTGTTGTTTTTCTTTAAATTGCTCAATCTTGCTATAGATTACACTATTTTATTGGTTTTTAAAGGACCATCTTTTGTTTCTGTTGATTGCTATTGTTTCTTTGTTTTCTTTTAATTCATTTCTGTTCTTTATTATTGCCTTCCTTCTTTTTGATGGGGGTTACTCTCTTGCTTATTTCTTGTGTTGGATTCTTAGTAATTGGTTTTTCATTTTTCTTTTCTTTTAAATTTTTTTCTTAATCATTTAAGACTATAAATATTCCTTTAAGTATAAATTCAGCTACATTATAGAGGTTTGCAATTCTCTATTTTCATTGATACTTATTTCTAAATGTTTTCTGACATCCATAATATAAAGGAGTGTTTTATTTACTTTTAATTTGAAAAATTTCTTTAATTTGTAATTTTTAGAATTTTTGGCATATATATATTTACATACTGTTAACATATTATCTAACTAGCATAATCTCACAATATATACTAAGTATGAGTGTGTTTTATTTTTGTAATTAGTTTTTAGTTACTGGATTATACTTAAAGAATGTAATCTGTTTAAAAAAAACCCACATGCAGATAACTGAGACTTGATTTTAGTAATCAATACCCAGAGAAATAAAAAAGAGTTTTACCAAAATGACTCCATCAAATTTGAACTGGCACCACTGATGTTAGAGAAAGGAAACCACTTCTCCATGACAGCCGGACTCCAGGGAATGGTGCAGCCAAGCTCCTGCTGGGCCCACTCTGGAACAGGAGAAGCTATAGGAACAAAGGAAGAGAGGCAGGAGAGGAAAAGAGGCTTTAGAACCAAAGCAGAGAATTCCAAGCACCTGCTTCTCCCCTGAACTGATGGTGTCCCTCCAAAGGACATATAAAGCGGCACTGTGAACAACATTCATTCATCTGCACCACCAACTCCTACAGGCTATGTTAGTTATGAAAAATGCTACTGAAAACATGCAAACACAATTTGAAGTCTTTTGTTCTTATTATTGGCAACAAATCCCCTCATCTTATTTCTGAAATGTTCCTCTAAATAGCTTCAAAAATATGTTTTCTATTCTTAAAAATGTATCCCTTAAAAGTGGCTTTTGTACAGAATAAAGAATACAGTAATATAAAAGCAGCATAATATTGCAGAATGTAACAATTCTGCTGCATCAAGTAGGTAAATTTGAAATAGTAAGATGTGGCACAGTGTTGTGGAGTGTAAAGGCAGCTTCTCTTAGAATAGGCCTGATGGAGGTGGCAGTGGGAAAACAGTAACAGAAACTTCAGTAAACTCAGTAATTCTGAGAGGCCCCAGACAAATGAAATGCTACATATTCAGGAAGTCTCGGAGAAAAAACCCAAATACTTAAAATGCACTGAAAAGCATAGAGATTATCAAGTTCTAGGCCCCATTTCAGTGAAAGAGTACAGAGATGACTAAAACACAATGACAACTTTGAAAGAAGCTCCCAGTACAGGAAGGGTAGATCTACTCTGTGATGTCATAGGGATGTGTACAAATGGTAGCACGTGCAAATTCCGTTTAGGTGGACGAGAGTCTCATGAAGAATATGAAATTGGGCTAGGCACTGATGCATGAGTAGGACCTCACCTGGAGACAGTGTGGAATGAGTGGACAATAAATCAGCATGCTCATTTATACTCAAAGAAACTGTGGTCGAGGCTAGAGCATGGAGTACTAGTAAAGTACTCCAATTCTTCTTTTACTACATTCCAAGAGAGTTTTCTGACCTGCTTCCAAGACATTATAAATAGTTAAGTTACAGTCTATTCTATTACAGTACAAATTTTCTGTGATACACATAACCTACACACAATTGGTAAGTAAGTAATAACACAATACAACATATTATGTTGTTTTGGTTGATATGTGATTATTCCTAATGTGCTAATACTCTATACCACCAAGAAGGAGCAGCTGAATTCAAAGTGCACTAACACAACTGAATACCACAAGTCAGAGGAACACAGTAAAGTATGCTAAGGCCCTCTGACTCACTCTTCTCCTGGGCTGCTTGGCTGCGTGTTCTTACTTGACAGCACTTACTGTGCAGTTAGTTCCCCATCTTTGTCATTCACCTTGTCTCGGTAATACCATAACCTCAACCCTTCCTTTCATCTTCAACCATCATTCCATCTTCACCTTTCTTTTCTTTCTTTTTTTTTTTTTTTCCCAAAAGATGACTGGTAAGGGGATCTTAAACCTTGGCTGGGTGTTGTCAACACCACGCTCAGCCAGTGAGCAAACTGGCCATCCCTATATAGGATCCGAACCCGTGGCCTTGGTGTTATCAGTACCATACTCTCCTGAGTGAGCCACGGGCCGGCCCTTTCACCTTTCTTTTTAAAAGATTAAGGATATTTATTACAGAGTTTACTTATTATAAGTTTAATGTCTCTTTTTAATTGAACTAGAATTTTTATTAGGATTGCTACTAGTGTTTGTTACTACCAAAGATTTTGAGAATTCTGCTCAAACCCTAGTTTTCTCAAAGCTATTAATTTTAGTGTAAGATTTTGTAGAATTTTTTTTAAACAAAAGAAAGCTCGCTTCATGTTACAGCATAAATGTCTGTAATTGCATTTGCTATGTCACATCCAAAAACTCAGACAAGGGCAGCAAATGTCTATGAGAATAAATATGATAGTTTCTTCTCAAGTCACTGTATACTGGTTTAGGGGAGAAAGGCCAGAAGCACTGTTACCCTCCTTAGGCCTCCAAATCTCACACCTGCATGGAAAGAGAGCTGCTCACACTCAGTTACCCCACATTTCCTCCAGCAGGGGACAACGGAGCCCCCATACTTAGAATAAGACCAACCCTCCACTGGCCTCCTTAGCAGGGCTTTAGAGTAAGATGCCCCTCCCTCGTCTCCATACCCACATCGGCAGGAGTCGGGGTAGGACAAACATCCATCCTTCCTAGTCCCCAAAACTCGGGTTCAGCACCACTAGCTGCCTTGAAACCACCAGGAATTAATCTTCTGCTACCCTTTACACTTGTTTTTGCCTGTCACATGAAGCCCTGGACTCCCAGGTCACTCCTATCTCCCTCACTCTGATCCCCTTTCTCCTTCCCATCCCTCTTTTGTCTCCACAGCCCAGCCCTTTCCACAAGTAAAATCCTCCCGCTTTGCCCTCTGGGACTCACTGGCCATTCTCAGCAAAACTCTTATGTCCTCAATTCTATCACTCTCTCTCCTGCAGAGCTCTCAAGAGTTGGCTGTTTCCCTGCCATGCCCCTCTTCCACTTGGTCCTGAGGTGGGTTGGTGTCCTCCTTACCTCTTCCAGACCATCTCCCTTTATCTGCTAAAAACAATAACAAAAACCTGGCTTTGATTCTCACATCAACAGACTATACTCTTCCTTGTTGCAGTCATCTAACAAGCCTGGATCATTCTCCCTCATTCCTTGAAGACTTCTAGCTCCTGACTCACTGTCATTCTCTCCAATACCACTCGGGCTTAATTCTTGGTGATTTCAGCACACATATCTGATCCCACCAATGCTCTGGCCTCCCAGCTCCTTGAATTCCTCTCCCCGTTCCCCGCGCCTCTGGCTTACCTTAGCCACTCTCTCCCCAGACCAATGCCCTGTATAATTGCAATTCCAAGCATCCCACTTTGACCACCTCTGCCTATTTTCCAGCACTCTCCATTTAGTACATTGGCTCCAACAATCCTTAGACTCCTACAATCCATTGATCTGATTGCCTCTTCTCTGTTCTTGTTATCCTCATTTCCCTCCTAACCCTAACTGCATGGACAATCACTGTAATCCCTTCCTGCTCATACTTTTGAATCCCTTACTCCTCTCTAGGTTCACTGTCCTCATTTGGCAAAATCCTGACCCTGAATAGCTCTCTGCCTACTCTGTAACTGTACCCAACAGGTGATGGTGGCTGAAGGCAAGCAAGCGTGCCTAGGGATCTCACTACATCATGCCTGTCTAGCAGCCGTGCTCCATTGCCTGCCAGCTTCACCCTCCCTCTCACCACTTCCTCCTTCTCCCCCTCCTCAGCCTCCAAGCACACCCTTAAATCTTCACTTTCAGCTGATGACTCTGCTTCCTGTCTCACTAAAATAACTGAAGCAATCAGAAGAGAACCCCACAAACTCCCCACTACATCCACTCACCTCCCAGCTTCCCAGCCCACATACCTTTGTCTTCTCTCCAGAAGTCAAATATGAACCGCATGTGTTCCAAAGATCAACCTCTCCACTTGCACCTTTTCAAAGATGTTTAACCAACAATTCTCCCCCACCCCTGCATCAGTTTTTGCCTTACTACATAAGCACACAAGCATGCTATTATTTCTAAAAATCAAAAATAGAAATCGACCCTACTTCTCTCTCTAGCCACTGTCCCTATTACTCTAATCTCTTTTACATCAAAACTATTCCAAAAAATTGTCTGCACATGAAGTTTTCCTCCTCACACATTCTCTCCTGAACCTACTCCCTCCATTCATGTTCCCATCCTCACAATTCTGCCAAAACTGGTATCAAGATCACCAATAACCTCCACGTTGCTTAGTCAAATGTCCAGCTGCCAGCCTTCATGTTCCTCACCTTTCAGTAGCAAATAACCCAGTCAAGCAGTTCTTTCCACTTGGCTCCCAGGGCATCATCACACTCTGGGTTTTCTTTCTTTTGTTCTTTTTTTCTTGGCAGCTGGCCAGTATGGGGCTCCGAACTCTTGATCTTGGTATTATAACACCATGCTCTAACCAACCGAGCTAATTGGCTGGCACCCACACTCTGGGTTTTCTCTTATTTCACCTACTACCCCTTTCTTGTCTCCTTTTGTTGGTTTCTTTCTCCTTGGTCCCCTTTTCTTCAACCACGCTCCACCCCCCATTGGTGATCTTAACCCATCTCATGGCTTTAACTATCACCAACTCCCCTCATCTCCAGTCCAGATAGATCTCCCAAACTCCAGGCAAGCATAGCTGATGCCTACTCAATGCCATATTTGGATGTCTAGTAGACAACTCAGACTTAACATGTTCAAAACAAACCCCCCAGTCCTCACTTGTCCCTGGCCCCTGCTTCTCCCACAGCCTTTCCCATTTCAGAAGGCAACTGCTTTCTACTAGTTGCTTAGGTCCAGAATCTCTGGAGTCATTTTCAACTTCCCTATAGCTCACATTATGCATTCAATCCAAGAGCAAATCCTGTTGGCTTTACCTTCAAAATACATCTAAAATCTCCAACTACTTCTAACCACCTGCATTGTTACCACCATCTCTTACCTCAATATTCCTAACCAGTCTCCCTCTTTTCTCTCCTTACCTCTCCATAGGAAATTCTCAACACAGCAGCCAGAGTAATGCTATTGAAAAATAAGTCAGATTGTGTAGAAACCCCCCAAAGCCTTCCTCTCTCACTCACTCACAGTAAAAGCCAAAGTCTTTTCGCTGACCTGTAAAGCCCCACACAATTTGGTCTTCTGTTGACACTCTGGCCTCACCTCCAACTACTCTCTCCTTGGCTCCTTTCCACCTCAGCCAGACTTCCTTCCTGTCCCTCCAACACACCAGATGAACGCCCTTCTGAGGCCTGGCACTTGCTCTTACTTTTACCAGCAACTTCCCCCATCACTTCCTTCAAGCTTGTGCTCAAATATCATTTTTTCAACAAAGTCTTCCCTAACCACTCTGTTTAAAATTGTAACCCTCGGGCTGGCCTGGTGGCGCACTCGGTAGAGTGCGGCGCTTGGGAGCGTGGTGGCGCTCCCGCCGAGGGTTTGGGTCCCATGTAGAGACCGGTCCGCTCACTGGTTGGGCGCGGTGCGGGCACAACACTGAGGGTTGCGATCCCGTTGCCGGTCACGAAAAAAGACAAAAAGGAAAAAAAATAAAAAATAAAAAAATAAATAAAATTGTAACCCTCTCATTCCTTTCCTACTTTATAACTATAACACTTGCCTCTTTCAAATAAATTACATAATGTGCTTATTTAGTTTATTGTTTTGTCTCCCCTCACTAGATGGTAAGCTCCAGGAGTACAGAGAACATTACCTATTTTGTTCTCTGATGGATTCCCAGTACCTAGAACAGTGCCTGACATATAGCAGGCACTCAATATCTGTTGAATAAATGAATGAATGGAAGAAATATCAAGTTGATTATATTTAATTCTACCTAGCATAAAAAAGATTTGTATCATATTAGTAACAATGCAACGCATTGCAAGGTTGACAGAATCACTAGTTTTACAGTCTTTATTAAATATATTAAAAACCAGATTTCACCTTATGACTTTGATTTCAAACTGGTTTTGCAGAGCCTTCAGCCTCCTCAGAAGTGCTTCAGGATTTCTATAAATAATGACTTAAATGGCCTGAAGTACTGTAGCCTGATTTTATCTGTCTTATAATGTACTGGACTTCTACTAAGTGCATGGTGAAAAAAAAGTTCTGATGTTGGAAAAGACTGCAAACCACCATAGACTACGTTAGTTATTGGTTCAGAAGCTTACCAGTAGTAGCAAGATCTTCAGGGGAATTATGAAACTGATTCAATACACCATCCATAACATCTGAGAAAAGGGAAGCTGTATCCTGGGGGCCCTCAGCCACAGCTGTTTGGAGAATATGTCTTTGAAACTCAGCCTCCTCAGTGCGGAACACAGTGAGAATCGTAGCATTGGCAGAGAGCGGGGAAATAATTCCAGTGGTGGCAGGCCAGCCTTCATCAGGATCCACGCTGGCGACCTACATAAAAAGTTCTAATTAGTTGAGAATATTGTTGTCAACATGCCTCAAGAAGAATGTTGCTTAGTAAACAGAGTAATAGTTTCCCAAGATTACAGCAGCACCCCCCTTATCCTTCAGAGGTAAGCTGTAAGAACCCCAGTGGATGCCTGAAACCGTGGATAATACTGAACTCTATATATATGATGTTCTTTTCTGTACATGCATACCTATGATTAAGCTTAATTTATAAACTAGGCACAGTAAGAGATTAACAATAACTAATAATAAAGTAGAACAATTATAACAATATACTGTAATAAAAGTTATGTGAATGTGCACCCTCTCTCTCAAAATATCTTACTGTGCTGCATTCACCTATTTTCCTATTGCAGTTGACTGTGGGTAACTGAAACCGCATAAAAATGAAACCATGGAAAAATGAAACTGCGGATAAGGGGGACTACAATACGAGTATTAATATAAAGTGAAAACTGTGGGGGGCGGGCCCGGTGGTGCACTGCTACAGTGCGCCGCTTGGGAGCATGGCGGCGCTCCCTCCGAGGGTTCGGATCCCACATACAGACCGGTTCCCGCTCACTGGCTGAGCGAGGTATGGGAGCAACACCGAGGGTTGCGATCCCGTTGCTGGTCCCGGTCTGGTACGGGCGCGACACTGAGGGTTGCGATCCGTTGCCAGACACGAAAAAAGACAAAAAGAAAAAAAAAAAAAAAAAAAAGAAAACTGTGGAAAAGATAGACTTGATGGTTATTAGAAATAGAAGAGAATTTACTAATCATATAGTCCTAATTCCTCAATTTACAAATAAAAACCTAACAGGAATATTTACTAAGCACTTACTGTGTGCTCACTGAATCCTCACAACCACTCTGAGGTGAAAATGATTATCATCCCCATTTTATAGAGGAAAGACTGAGGCTGAGGATATGTAACCTATTTAAGATCAACCTGTTAGTATGGGGAGATACCAAGTGTGTCTGATTTCAAAACCACACACTTAACCATGAGGTAATACTACCACTTAAGGGATTTTTCCAGAACATACAGTGGGCAGTAGAGCTGAGACTTAATCCAGATCTCCTGATTCTCCAATCCAGTGCTTTTTCCATCAGAGCACACAACTAGAGCATTTGTTCAGTGACTACTCAGTTTTTCTTTAGAATGTTTCACAATAGGATCCGGAATATAGACACCTCCAGAGATTATGAAGGCAAAAGACAAAGTAAGGGTAAAGAATTTGCTGGTAGTTTAAAAATAACTACCACCTTTAAATCAAATCTGGGTATGTATATTTTACTTTTGAGAAGACATTTCTAAACTTGTGTATCTTGTCCAATTATATTGGACAATACTATTACACTTAATTTTACAGTGTAGCAGGTTTTTCTTAAATACTTATATAAAAGTAATAAATACATAACAGAACATTACAAAAATAAGAAATCACCCATCACTTCACTACCCTAATACAACCATTCCTTTTGGCCTTTTTTGCTATGTGAATATAATTTAAATGAACTGGATTCAGGGTACCTGCATATTTATAAATGGTTTCTTTGCTACAATGTAGACAATATTATTTGCAAAAACATCATCAGTTTTACTGAGACTATATTACATAGGGTGATTCTTGGCATTTTATAAACATACTTATTTCACTTTACCAGTATTAGATAAGTATCACTTAGTATATGGAAGATACCTACCAGATGTAACTCTTCAGCAGTCAGCCTGCTTACCAGATGCTGAAATAACAGCCTTTGAGTTGTCATGTTCTCCTCCAGACTTTGTAGCATCCAGCTTTCAGTGCACAATGTGCTGCTCATTGGAAGAGACCACTGGGCCACAAAACCTTTTAGAAAAATTCTGACTGGTTTCTGAAAATGTCTCTGATGCATGGCCAAAGGCTCTAGGGTGATTGTCCATGTTTTTTGAGTCTCTTCACCTGTTGGAAATAAAAAATATTAAAATCCTAATATAAGAAATAGTTACTAAAAAGATATTTAATAATGGGCCGGCCCGGTGGCGCACTGGAGAGTGCGCTGCTTGCGGCGCTCCCGCCGAGGGTTCGGATCCCATGTGGTGACCGGTTCCCGCTCACTGGCTGAGCGCGGTGCGGGTGCAACACCGAGGGATTTGTGATCCCGTTACCGGTCAGTAAAAAAGGAAAAAAAAAAAAACAAAAGATATTTAATAATGGGCCGGCCCGGTGGCGCACTGGAGAGTGCGCTGCTTGCGGCGCTCCCGCCGAGGGTTCGGATCCCATGTGGTGACCGGTTCCCGCTCACTGGCTGAGCGCGGTGCGGGTGCAACACCGAGGGATTTGTGATCCCGTTACCGGTCAGTAAAAAAGGAAAAAAAAAAAACAAAAGATATTTAATAATAAGAAAAAAAATCAGATTGCCAGTTGAAGATGATGTTATTACTTAGTTCATACTTCAGCCTTTATTCCACTGCCAACAAGCTATCACAGCAAGTTCATTTGGTTCTATAGGAAAAACTGAATACAAATGGAATTACAAGGGCGAGATGCGATGTTAGAATTTCTCAATAATTATCACTTAGACTGTGTTATGATGAAATTGCTTAAATAAAACTACTATTGAAAATTCCTTAAACTGCACATAATGTACAACATAGTTTTATGTATATATCTCTATGCAGTATTATTTCTGAATGAATATATAATGTATCCAGAAATGAGATTCACCATATAACGAATCAGATGGTGAAGCAAATTTCAGATGGTGAAATGAAGATTCCAACATGCTGGCTTTTCCTTTTTGGTAATAAGCATCATTTTTGGTTTCTGTAGATTAACTAATTTATTTCTTCTCTCAGTCAATCATTGTTTCTCTATGGTCTTCAATTTATCAATCTCTTCTATGAGGCAATAGAAATCTTACCACCCACGTACTTGGGCGCCTGAACAAAATTACCATTCTTTGGGAATAGGAAACTCTTTAAAAAAATCATTCACTTATTCTTTTTATACATGGGCGGGCAGGTGTACTATACCAGAGTTTAATCCTTTCCTGTGGTGTCTCTGATCTTGCTTGGACACCTTTTAATTCTTTCAATTACAAGCATTAACTGAGTGCCCAGGCACTCAGTTTAGTGGGAAATGCTAAAGAAGTTAAAAGCATGGACCGCCTTAAAGAAATGAATGTAACTGAGATTTTTTTAAAAAACCCTCAAAATATTATTTGTTTACCCTCAACAGGGAGAAATAATGTTCCTTCCATCCGTGGAAATGAGGCTTCGTACTCAGGAGAATTATAGAGCAAACGGTTTAAAGTGGCATCAGTTGGCAGAGTTGAAATCCACAGAGAGAGGTGAGGTTCACTTGACAGCTTCCTTTCACCCTTTATCAGTGTTTCCCCAGTTTTCGTAAAATCCTGGCTGAAAGTTTCAGATGGCAAGACAGTGCCTCCTCCGTGGTGGAGAAGTTCACAAACTGTCCAGTACCCAAGGTGATCTGGGGATTCCCACAACTAAAATAAAAATGACAAAGAGCCTCAGGTTATTGTAAATTAGGCATTCATAAATAAAGCTAAAGGAAATCAGGAGAAAGTAAAGTTGATACCAACATTAAAGGGTCAAATTACATAATCAACATATTTATTGAGCCAAACACAAATAATGGCCAGCATCCAGTTATTGTACAAGCCAAGAACATAATTATTACATAACATACCTCAAGAAATCATTTATTTCGTGAAAATAGCACTTCATTTATATTTTCTGTCAATGAACAGAAATGATGCAAATCATTGGGTATAAATCATACTCAGGAGAATAGAATTTTCAAGGGAGAAGGAATACAAAACCATTACACACTAATAAAAATAATTCTGTGCCACACTATGAAACACAACAACGGCCAGGTATCATGGCAGTGAGTCAGGAGCATCCCCTCAGATGGTAACCATCGCTCTGACTCACTCACCCACAAGTCTGTGCAGCACCAAACAGGTCTTCTCCATCCCATCCTTACTGCTACACCTGAGGCCCTCATTATCTCTCGCCCACACTCTTTCTATAGTCGGCAAATATGCCCTGACTCTAACTTCTCCTCCAAGTTGCTCTAGTATTCTTCCCAATCATTTATCTGATCATGCTACTTCTCTAAAATCTTCCAAAGGCTTCTCACTCTCTCCAAGATAAAGTAACTCTTTAGCATAACCATAAAGCCCTTCGCCATCCAACCCTAAACTACCTTTCCTAACATATTAGGGTAGTTCAAAAAAGTTCATGGAAAGATTTGTATTACCTTCTAATTCTATTTTTCCATGAACTTTTTGAAGTACCCTTGTATTATCTTCTATTTCTCTCACCACTCCTACCTACCTTCCAGGTACATGGAAATAGCAAATGGTTCAATGTATTACAAAAAAAGAGAGAGAGAAAAAGGAGAGAGAAAGAAAAAGAATCTCCAAGCCCTATCTGCTAAGACTTATTTCTAGCCAGTATTTGAAATAATACAATTCCAGAATAAAGTTTTTTTATGTGATTTGATATCAGTGATCCCCAATCAAGCACGTATGTGTTGTGTACTGTGTCCAACACTTGATTTTGCTGCCTTCACAAATTTTAATTTCTAGGATTCCATTTTCCCCAAGAAATGTATACCATTCCCTTAAACATTTTTTGTTCCTTCCTTTCTTCTTTGACAAACCACTGCTGCTTTACTTTGCATTTACCATGCCTTTTTTTGGGCTTTGTATGTGAAAACCTGTTGGAAATTTTAACACTATATCGTTATCTATTTATTTATTTTTTTGGCAGCTGGCCAGTATGGGGATCCAAACCCTTGACCTTGGTGTTACAACACTGCACTCTAAACAACTGAGCAAACCGACCAGCCCAAACACTGTATTATTATTTGTTTTAAGTACTTGCTCATTTTCCATCTGTAATCTTGCAACTTAACCCACTCCTGGTTTAGTGATATGTATTTCCAGTAAATGGAATCACATCTTTCACCTGGTTACATCACCCTGCAAAGCCTTACCACTGACTAGAACAAAAACACTTAGGACCTTGGCCCTAAAGACTGGCTGGCATCTCCCACTCCCTGACTTTCTCATACAGTTCTCCCCCTTGCCTATTAGGTCTCAGCACTCCTTGTTTTTTGTTTCTGAAACAAACTAAACTCATTTACAGCTCATAATCCTTACCTGCTCATCATCTCTTTGTCTGGAATGTTCTTTCCCAACCTTCACTTTTCTCCTCCTTCACCATTCAATTCGCTGCTCAAAAAGGCCTTCTCTGACTAACTGTCTTATATACAATAGCCACCTCTACCTCCCCTGCCTGACCCCTATCCCCTCACCCAGCTTTCTTTTCTTTTATTTATTTATTTTTTTTTAAAAGATGACCGGTGGGCCGGCCCGGTGGCGCACTGGATAGTGCGCCGCTTGGGAAGCGCGGCGGCGCTCCCGCCCGAGGGTTCAGATCCCACATACAGACCGGTTCCCGCTCACTGGCTGAGCGAGGCACGGGAGCAACGCCGAGGGTTGCAATCCCGTTGCCGGTCCCCGGTCCGGTACGGGGGCAACGCTGAGGGTTGTGATCCGTTGCTGGACACGGAAAAAGACAAAAGACAAAAAAATAAAAAATAAAAAAAAAATAAAAGATGACTGGTAAGGGGATCTCAACCCCTGGCTTGGTGTTGTCAGCACCACGCTCAGCCAGTGAGCAAACCAGCCATCCCTATATAGGATCCGAACCCGCGGCCTTGGTGTTATCAGCACCGCACTCTACCGAGTGAGCCACGGGCCGGCCTATACCCAGCTTTATTTTCTTCAGAGCAGAATTTGAAATCCTATCACTTACTTGCTGATGTCTTTAATTTGTTAAACTTATCTGTTTAATAAATCTTCACCACTAGGTAAATCTTTACCACTAAGGTAAACTTCGGCCACTACACCCCCACAGCTAAAACAGTGTAGCTATTCAATGTAGTGGTTTCTTAATGATTATTTGTTGACTAAATGAAGTGACATGAGGTCAATGATGAAGGTAAAAATATATACTTATCATAGCACTTAACAGGAGCAGGGGCCTCACTGCCTCAACAAAATTCCAAATTAGCCATTTAAGATTTTAGCTTTGTAAGAATGCATTCATTCAGTCAGCAAATGTTTACTCAACACCTACAATGTTCAATACACATCTGTGGGGGATACAAAGATGTGTTAAGACGTGGTGTCTGCCTTTGAGGTATTTTTAGGTTAGATGGAAGGAGAGAGATGTCCACAATTGGAACACAATGGGGAAAGAATAAGTGTCACAAAAAAGTGTATAGAAATTCCGTGTATGGCACTTACTCTTCTAGATTGGCTTAGAAGAGTGGGAACTGGCGTTCCAGGCAGACACAACACAAGATAAGACAAAGCGAGCAGTCAAGACCTGTTGACTAGCTAGACTAGGCTTTATTACGCTAGAATACAGGTCGTGTGCAGGAAAATAGTCTGGGAAGGTAGGTAGGGACCAAACTGTGAAGGACCTTAAACGCTCAGTAGGTAGAGAGGAGCCACACATTTTGCTGTGAAAATTGTCCCTATTTGTTTTGACCACAGGACTTTCCTCCTGAAAGGACGCACGGCCATGTTAGTGTCATTCTGGGTCTGTTGGCTGCTCTGCAGACGGTGTCAAGTTCTAGTTAGCAAGGAGAGCACCGTGCACTAAATTCGAGACTACTATCACCTAGTATAACCTTACCTTAGGCCATTCGGTGGTATCCACCCAGTACAAAGTGATTTTTCGGGCGATCATGACTTCCTGCACTCTCTTAGGCAACAACTTCTCCATCACCTGCTTAGGGGCAGGCGGCAGGCTCTGGACCTGGGCCTCGAACCCGGACACGAACTGCAGCAGTTCCCTCTGCGAATGCGGACAGGGGGCCAGGAGGAAGACGGCGTTCACGAGGCCCCCGAGGGCGGCCTCGGCCTCCTTGGCCTCGCTCTCCACGTCCAGCAGCCTCCTCCCGCTTCTCCGCAGGATCGGCTTCGTGGGCGACGTGATCTCGGGCCGGTCCCACTGGTAATCTAGCAGCGTCTCCATCAGGGCGCTGTGCGTGTGGGTGGCCCTGGGCGCCGGGCCCGGCAGGTGGGCGCCGTGGGCGCGATCCGCGAGCCTGGCCTCCAGCTCCTCCTCAAAGTCCTCCCAGGAGCGGGCCCCCAGCTCGCGGAAGTCAGACGCGCGGGAGGGCCGGCTCCGCGCCCCCTGCGAGTCGAAGAACTTGAAGGCCCAGTGGACCCTGGCCAGGCCGAATCGGCAACTGAGGTAGATGAGGAGGCGCAGGGCGGCCCGCCGGACAGAGCTGTGGCGAGCGGCGCCGCCCGAGGTGTCCAGCAGCAGCATCACTTTGTGACAGCAGGCCATATCGGCAGCGCCGCAGGCCCGGGGCTCCGGTCCGGGCCCACACCACTTTCCCTCAGACCCTGGCTTCAGAGAACCAGCGCCATTCACTCCTTCCCTTAGGGGCCCTGATCGAAAGGCTCCCGCGCTCTCCAAGACCTGCTGCTATTGGCAGAGCTAGTTCCCAAGGTCAGCTCCTATTGGTTGCTTTCCTTGCGTAAGTTACGAGAGTAACCTCCATTTTCGACTCTGATTGGAAGGGCGGTGGAGAAAACCTCAGCTTGATTGGTGGAAGGAGAGCCTGTGGCGGGGCGCTGTGTTCCGGAGAAAGTTAACATTCATTGGCCCGAGGCTTCGTTTTAAAATTTAAAGAGGTGGTGCTTCGGGGGCGTGTGAAGAAGTTTTCCCGTTGGGAAGGAGGCCTGCGTGTGGGCGATTATGCGCAGGCGTGGGTGCGACCGCAAGGATTTTTTTTTTTTTTTAACTAAGATCTTGAAAACTAAGTACCGGAAGGGAATTTGGGAGGGTTTCAGTCGAACTGGTTTGAAAAGAACTAGTTTGAAACCATTCTAGACTTTCTAGGAAGTAGAACCCGATGGCAAAGGCTTTAATTTTCTGTAAATGTTTTAAAATTACTAAAAATGAAAGGTTCACTGCCTTTGCCTTCGTGACTTCAAGGAGTTTATCTGAAGAAGATAATCGGAGAGCCAGATGAAAGACGTATGTACATCATAGAGTTTATTTAACTTGAGAAAAATTGGAAACAGTTTGAATGGGAATGGTTAAATAAGGTATAGTACACCCCCAAGGAGGGCATCGTGCAGCTTTTTAAAATAGTGGGTTTTTAAATGTACTGTTAGATTTAAAAAGTATATTTTTAAACTTAAGATAGTACTGTGTACTGAAAGTTGTCTATGATTGTCTCTCGGTGGTGATTAGAAAATATTTTTTACACTTTTGTAAATTTTATAGATTTTTGGAATTCTTCATTCCTTTTGCATTCATGGGAAATATCCTTAAAGAGTAAAAGTAATCCTCTTGCTGTGACTCCAGGTGGGAGCATTTCCTATTATTGGTTGTAACAGCAGAGAAGGATTTAAACTCTCTCTGGCAAGTGCTGGCAGGCCTTTAAATTTGCTTTCCAAAAAAAAAATTCCTTTCAGTCCTGAAATTCTCTGAGTCAATTGTTTCCAGAAAAGACCATCACTGATGCTTTGTAAATTGTCCATGAACAACAGAAATTAGCATTTCTTGATTCACTCTCTGTCATTTTAAAGCAACAAACATTTGTTATTCTTAATCTTTCAGGCACTTACTAGAAATTCTGACGCCTACTGTGTTGTTTATTATTCATTCAACAAATAGTCATTAGAGAACAAAATAGACAAAAAATCTCTCTCCCTCTTTTAGTAGGGGGAGCCAAATGATAAAATAAATAAGTAAAAGATATATGTTAGATAGTAATAAGGGCTGTGGAGAAAAATTAAGCAGAGAAAAGGCACAAGGAGTAGGTAAAGGTATGAAGTTTCAAATGAGATAGTTAAGGAAGTCTCACCGAGGTGACATTTCAATAAAGACATTTGAAGATGAGAGAGAGAGCTCTGCAAATATCTGGGGGAAGAGTTCCAGGAAGAGGGAACAGTGAGTGCGAAGGCACCGAGGCAGGAATTTGCTCCCTTATTTTTTTAAGGGTTATTACTAAACACATTCTTTTACAAATAGAGGAAGCTGAGGCTCACAGCAATTAATCTCCTCTATGACTTCATATGTAGCAGAACCGGGAATGGAATCAAATTCAGATTCCAAAGAGCAGCCCCTATCCAAGGCAGAATGCTTGCAACCTAAAATGAAAAACCAGCTTGTTAAGGAGTGAGTGACTCAACACTTTCAAGAGTAAAGGTTGATTGATGAGGTCTTTGTATAAAACAGTGACAGGAGTCTGGTGATTTAATCTCAGTTTCCTCTCCCTCCCCAGATCAACAATCTCCGTTAAAGGATGTTTGTTTGTTTGTATGTTTTAAAATATTATTTGTTTCCCTTTCCCTCCCTCCCTTCTACCCTTTTGGACACTGTCTTGTTAATAAAAAGTTATTGCCTATCTGTCTACTGTTCATGGCAGTGAGGGATGGATGCTAAGGAATAATGAGCCCTAGTATTTGTTCGTAAAGGGAATTAAAAGCAACAATATGCTGAATGCTTTAGAGGTAATTCAACACTAAACTGACTGTTTAGTATTGGCAAAAGAAGAAACCATCCAAAAGGAAACTATCACAGTGATTTAGGGTGGCCATGTATGCTCTACCAAAGCACTGGACTGGGAAGGCTAAGATTGTGAGAAAAGCATGTTATCATGGGTGGATAATCCTTTAGGCACCAGGTGGGTAAAGGAAGTGAGACACTGTGGGCATTAGCAATAAATAGGAAATGGAGGTGAGGTGGGACTATGCCCAAAGACATTCAAAATTTATGTTGAAAACAACTTCGTGATGTACTTCCGCTTAAGTAATAAGTGAAAACCTACCAGCTAAGCCCCTTTCCTGCAGTGACAAAAGTAAAATGATTCTTATTATAAATGATTTCTAACCATCAAAAAAGCATCTTGCTAAACACTCATTAATATACCATGAAATAAACAAAAGAGGAAATGTTCCAAATCACTGCTGATTAAAATGATCCAAAATTGAGCCAAATACAAAATCATGATCAAAAGGAGATGTATATGCCTCTTAAAAAAGTTTTTTTTCTGGAACCAGCCTAAATGCCCATCATCAGATGAGTCGATAAAAAAAATGTGGTATACCTATACAATGGAATACTGCTCTGCTATAAAAAATAATGAAATACTACCATTCACAGCAACATGGATGGACTTAGAGAAAATTGTATTAAGTAAAGTAAGCCAGGGACAGAAAGAGAAATACCACATGCTCTCACTTATTTGTGGGAGTTAATAAAAATAAATAATATACAAACAAATAAATGGGGGGTGTAAGAAAAAGAGGACACAACAATCACAACAATTTCTTGAACTTGTTAAGACAAGTGAACAGATATGATGTTGATGGGGGGGAGGACGGAGAGCGAGTGGAGAAAAAGGAATTGGTAAAGTGACATGAAAATCAACTACATTGTATATTGATAAATTAAAATAAAAAATTTTTTTTTTCTTAGAGAAAAGGCTAGGGTACTTGAAAGAAAGTGAGCCGAGATGCTGGGTCAGGAGGCTTCTCGTAAAGGGAAGGGGGGGGGAGGGGGGCAGTGCCATTTTGTACTTGGGCTTGTCTAAAGTGGTGCTGGCTATGTCGCAGTCCTATTAGTACTGAACTGTGTAGTTAAATACTAGAAAACTGGCCCCACCAGTATCCCCACTAGAGATATCATCATAATAGCAATAACTAGTATTTTTTTGTTTTTTTTTTAAAGATGACCGGTAAGGGGATCTTAACCCTTGGCTTGGTGTTGTCAGCACCATGCTCACCCAGTGAGCTAACCAGCCATCCCTATATGGGATCCGAACCCGTGGCCTTGGTGTTATCAGCACCGCACTCTCCCGAATGAGCCACGGGCCGGCCCCACAATAACTAGTTTTTGATTGCTCACTATGTACTAGGCACAGTGTTCTGCAGAGGTTTCATAAAGAAGGTAAACGCTTAACTGGATTTTTGTAGTTTATCAACTATAAGACAATATAGATTCTAAGATACCCATTATTTTATGTAACAGTAGAGGGGGAAAAAAGTTCAGCCAATTACAGTAATGCAATATTTTCTGATCACTTCAGATGTTTTGGCTTATATTTAGAAGAGCTCCTTTAGATTTATGTAGACACAGTTTTTTGGTTTTTTTTTAAAAAGAACGAAACATTTCTCTTGCACATATGAAAGAAAAAGAATATAAGTAAAATTAATTGGTTAAAATATTCCTAAAGCTTCTTCACATTCAGAATCCCAATTTGCTGAGTCACTTCACTCATCAGTATTCATCTTTTTTTCATACAATACGATCCTCCCCACCATCAGGAGTGTCGGTGATGCAACACTTCTCAAAAGAGTACTCCACCACTGCTGCTGGCATTTACTTTCAACCCACTCTCACGCATTCTGCAAGTTTCAACACACATGTGCTGACATAATACCCCACTTCCTCTCACTGGCCAACAGACTCAGGTTGATTTCAGAGATGTGAAAATGAGCCTCCAGGATCCATGAAATATGGTACATGGAAAGAAGAGGGTAGTAGGAATGAACGCTGGTTACCTGAATTTGTGTTTAGGGAGACTGATCCAATCTTCCACATGGTTGAATTGTGCCTGTTGAGTCTGCTCCTACTTGGTCTCTACAACCTCCCTTATACCCCTCTGCTTCTCCCGTCAAAGTCCTCAACAGTTACTGCCCCATGTGCAACCATTTTCCCTCTTGCATGAGTTTTCTGGGACTGCTAGCCATAACAAAGGATCCAAACCAGAAATTTATTGTTTCAACAGTTCTGAGGGCTAGAAGTCCAAAATCAAGGTGTTGGCATGCTCTCTCTCCCCCGATGGCTCCAGGAAAGGATTCTCCTTTGCCTCTTCTAGCTTCTGGTGTCTGCTGGCAATCTTTGGTGTTCTTCCTGGGTCTCTTCACATCACCTTCCCTCTGTGCATGTCTGTTTCTGTGTCCAAATTTCCCCTTTTTATAGGAACACCTTGGATTAGGACATATTGAATCCATAATCATACTGGATTAGGACATAACCTAATGGCCTCATTTAACCTTATTACCTCTGTAAGACCCTATTTCCAAATAAGGTCACATTCACAGGTATTGGGGAGATAGGACTTAACATAGCTTTTTGGGGGGACACAATTCAACCCATAACACCTTTAATCCTTGTGTCATTCATTCACTCGTGCAATGATACTTACAACATACCAGGCACATTCCTACCCTCCTGGAATTTGCAGGCTAATAGGGGACCAGACATTAGACAAATGATAATATGGATGAATATAATATGATAATATGCAGAAAGAATTTTGAGGAGAA